GTGCAGACTCCTGGCCCCCTCAGAAGCCTGTGGAGATAAGGATCAGGCCTCCCTCTGAATGGAAGCTGGTCCGAGAAAAGAGTCCGGGGGCAGCACCCTCGGTATCTGGAATGTGCCTGGGGGCAGCTTGGGGGGGGGGGGCGGCCGTGGAGACTGACCGAAAGGGCTTTTGTTCGCTTGCTGCTGCTTCCCTGCAATTGTCACTCTCACGTCTGTTTTCCGTGAAGAACATGGAAGTGGCACATTGCTCACTCCCTCACAGTGAGGTTCCCATCTTTCGTTACGATCTGCTGTTTAGGCCGCAGCCGCGTGCCAGCCCAGTTCTAAAAGCAGCTCCCCAGGTGAGGCGGCTGTTTTGCAGAGGCTGGGGGTGAGCTCACCCACCCACCCCCGTCACCATGCTTGAGCCCGGCCAGAGTGTTTCAGTCAGTCTCGCCAGCGGCCTTTGGGCGTTTCTCCTCCACCATTTGGCTGCCCCTCTGTGGTCTTCCTGCGTGGCCATGCAGTAGCCGTGGCTTCAGCCGTCTGCCCAGCAGCTTGGAGGATGTTGAATTTTGGGGTTGGTTGGACCCAGGTTCCCCTTGGAGTCTCACCTGGGCCTGACTCCTTGGGGGACGCTTGGTCCAACCTTGGGGTGCAATGGGCTGTGGTGCCTTCTGGCTAGAGGCCCCAGGGCCCCCAAAAGGCATGTTCTTCTGTACCGCTATATTTCTGGCGTGACTTCTGGCATAAGAAACAACCTATAATCTCCCATGGTAAATCGAGGTTTAGCCGCCAATTCAAACTGCGCCCTGCTGTATTAATAACAGATCAGAGCATCGGTGCCTCCTGCCCTAGGGAGAGGCAGCCTCGACCAGCCGGGGGAGCATCGTCCTCACCAGGCCAGAGCGAGACGTGACTCGGGCAAAGTGGTTTCCAGGGGGACCCTCAGTGCAGTGGGGCCACAGCCAAGAAGATCTCCTGGCCTTGGCCCGCCAACCCCACCCGAGGATGGAGGCGCCAAAAGTTTCCCCTGTAATGAATGTGGGTTGAGTCCAGCTGCAGCTTTCTAGAATTGGAAATCGGGGCCTCTCTGAATGGCACTAAAATCCTTCTGGCAGGAGTGCAGGGTGCGCAACAATGAACGTTCTTGGCAACTAGTGCTAGCTGAGCAAAGGAGGACGGCAGTCCATCCCGGTTGTGGTTCCCTGTGGTCTTCTAGGGCCGTGGCCCCCAACCTTTTTTGTGCCACGGCCCGGTACCGGCATCACAAAATGATCCGTGGCCCGGTACCGGCATCAGCATGCATGACAAGGCAAGGCGAACTGAGCGACCGGACAGCCAGCCGTCCCTCGCTTCTCCCTGCCACCTTCAACTCCTCCTTTGTACCTTTGTCGATGGGCTTTGGGACGACCTTGGGACGGTCGCTCGGCTCGCCTTGCCTTGGGTGCTGAAAGAATCCTCGTGCCTTAGTTTCGTTCGAAGCCGCCCCCCCCCCGCCCCTCCCCCCCGATGAAACTAAGGCACGAGGATTCCTTCAGGACCCAAACGCCGCTTTCCAACCGGAAAAGCTCACCCGGAAGCACTTTCTCATCGAAACAAGATGGCGGCACCCAGCAAACCAGCGGCCCGGTTGAAAATGTTCCACGGACTGGTACCGGTCTGGGGCCCGGTGGTTGGGGACCCCTGTTCTAGGGGACTTGGCATGGAGTCCAAGTGAACCTGAGGGGATCAGTTGCGGTTGTGAGATGCTATGGTCCCCGGCAGGGCTGCAGGTGGGGTACCAGCCACAGGGCAGCCCCAAAGGCTATTTTGGCCATGGGCAAATGCAGACCATCCAGAAGCAGCTGTGAGTTCAAGGGGGCCACCCCATCACTGCGCCCCGTTAATCTCGTTGGGTAGTGAAAGCTCTGCAGGCCAAGGGGGCACCGAGGACTCCCATATGTAAGAGCCCTGCCCGGAGGGTGACAGGGTTGGAGTTACGGCCTCTGTATTTGGGGAGAGAGACCGTTCTGCCACGATGGAGAAGCCACATTTCCTGAGCCCATCAGGTAGCGAGGGGACCAGAGGAACCTTCTCACCCCTCTCTTGCATTAGCCCCGTTGGGCAGGGAACCTTCTCAGGGACAGAAGGTGGACTGGCAGGTCCAGGGAGAGGCCTTCGCTGCCTTTGCCTTTCTCTTCCTCCGGCCTTCCCCAGGGTTGGGGGGACCTAGCTCTGCCAACGGGCATGGGGCTCACTGAGCAGCGGGCCTCCCTGAGGGGTGAAAGATATTGGGGGGACATGCTTGTACACTTGAATATCTTGCCAGTGCCACAGGATGAGTTCATGACGCCAGGACAGGAAGCGGAACCGGCCAATTAGGATTCGTTGGGGTGAACCCCTAACATGGACGTGAAAACTTCCTGCTTTCGCCCATTCCTTCGCTCATCGAATGGAGATGAAGTGCACATGAGGTGTCTCAGGGTGGGGAAGGCCATGGAGGGGGGCTCCCGAGTGACGAAAAGGGCACCTGCTTAAGACCACCCAGGGCCTCATGCTCCCCACGATGGCTTCCCCCTGCCCCCCATCCTGCCGCACCGGGTCACTTCCTTTGCCAAGATCCAGGGAGCGTCTTTCGCTCCAGCCTCTCTGCCGGGCAAGATCACAGCCTTCAGAAGCTCCCCGTCCCGGTGAGTGTGGGCCATGATCTCACACAACGCCAGGCACCTGTTCCCTGCCAAAGCAGAGGGGTGCCCGAAGTCCTGCAAGATTGTGGCCTCCGGAAGCTTCCAGTTTTGGCGCGCAAAACATTTGCATGCTCAAGGGAGGCTTTGGGGCAGTGAAATCTGCTTGCAAACACTTGGGCAAAGCCTATGCCGGCATGGACAGAGCCCGGGAGGGATGCGCTGGCAGAGGCTCTTTGGAAAGACGACCGGAGCCTGTAGGGACACAATCTCCGTGCAGGCTTCGGCTAGGAAACCGCAAGCGGAGGGAAGGCCTGAAGCACTGAAGCCTTCCCTCCATTTGCAAAGCCTTTTGCCACGCATCTGGTCCAGGCCTCAGTTCGCAGGGAACAGAGGCCTAAAGTGCCGTGAGATCACTAGCATGGGATCTCGCACTGCTGATCCCGTGTGATCTCACGGTACTTTAGGCCTCCCTTCCCTGCCAATGCACTGAAGGCCTGAAGCAACGAAGCAGGCAGGAGGCAGCTTGCTAGATCTTCCCACGGTCAGTGAATCTCCACAGGGCGAGTGCTGGCCGGGGGGTGGGGGGCAGAGCGGAGGGGATGGGCCAGGCGAATGTTGCAGTGCCTCTGTGGTCATTCGTAAGGGTGAACGACTGGCGTGGCGCTGCAACATTTGTAACCTCTGGATCATGTCGTAAGTACTGCTATGTCACAATTTCAAATGGTCATTAAGTGAGCTGTTGTAACTCGAGAATTACCTGTATTGTTTACGTACCAAAAGGAGAATAAAACATCTAGAGAAAATCCTTAACGAACGTTAAGGGGCTGTACGATTGCAAGAGACCTTGTGCTGGAACCGTGTCAAGGTTTTAAGGCTGCTGAGCTGGGATCTAACTTCCATGGCACGGCACGGCGTCCACTTGTTTCTCTGGGAGGCCCGTTGAGTGCCAGGCCAGAGCTGGCAGATTCCCGTTCTTCCATTGGGAGGGGATGCCCAGAGGAACCTCATCTCACCGTTTTGTAATTTTCTTTATAGTTCCGAGTTGCAGATTGTGGCAGGAGGAATTAATGATGATTTAAATAATACGGTTCTTCTGAATGAGCAGTGACCAAGTTGATTACCTAGCTGTGCTTCCCTTCTTCAGGAAATAAAGCCCTGTTCAGCCTATGGAAACGGGTCCGGTCGGTCACGGAGGCTGCCGTGGCAGTGCTGGTGGGGCCATGGGAAGAGGGGCTCCTGAGTTCCGGGGGGGGGCTGGCCCGGGCCCCACATTGCCGCCTTATGAACGGCATGGATCAGCAGTCCCCAACCTTCCTGGCTCGGCAGACCGGCAGAGGCGAGGGGAGGGGGGCGGGGGAGGGGATGATTTTGCCCAGCGTACTCACCACGTCCACAAATGCAGCTCCGCACGTGGTGCTCGCCCACCATTTCCGTGGCCCAGTTCCAGCCGGGTTGCCACCGGGCCCACGGGTTGGGGGCACCTGGCCTAGATTACCAGTAACACAAAACCAGGGAAATGTGGGCGGAGTTTAACATTTGCCCTAAGTGAACAAGACGGGCAGGCAGCGCTATAGTCGCTTGTATCGGAAGGGGGGGAAAGGAGGCGGAAACCTGGTTTGGCGGGGGTTCCTGTGAATGGGTGTCCACAAACCACACGAGGTCTCAGTGTGTGAAGATGCGCCTGCTGACAGGCCTGGGATCCATTCACAAGGGCACAGGATCCCCTCGCCTGTCCAGCTCAGACCTTGTCTGGAAGGCCGGGTCTGGTCCTGGACGCTGGTGCATCTTTCTGAGGAGGCCGGGTGGAGGACCCTGGACCAAGCAGGCTTGTGGGGGTGGTGAGAGTGCGGTCTTCAGAGACCCCAAAGCTGAGAGCACGGGGGGGGGGGGGGTTCTCTGTCGCCCTGAGGGCTTAGGGCCTAAGGCCAGTTGGGTGAAGTGGCAAGTCAGCCTCTAGGAAGAATTTCTTTTTGCTAGGAACTGCCAACAGGGTTGCTTCTGGGGTAGCAGGTCTCCATTTATGTGTCCCCCGCTCCCCAACATTGACTGGTCTTGCCTGGGGCAGGAGTGTGTGTGTGTGTGGGGGGGGGCATTCCAACCCTGTCACTCAAAGGGGCTGCTGCAATTTTCTGGAGCAAAAACCAGAAAGGCCCCTTTGTGGCTGAGCTGGGGTGGCCTGGGGGCTGTGTCCATTTTGGGGCGGTAATTTTATCCGTTTCATGGGCAGGGAGAGCCGGGCCTCTTTTGGGCAAAGGAGGGGCCTGGAAGGGGGCAACCGCCCACTCCGGGAGTTGGCATTTGGGGCGCATGCCTTGGGTCTCACCCTTGACTCGTTTTCATTGCTGCTTTTAGACACCAGAAGCTGCTCTTCCTCCTCCTCCTCTTCCTCCTCCTCCTCCTGTTGTTGTTGTCTCTGCTCTGCCAGTTCCTGCCGAGGCTTCACTCATCCCATCTTCCATCTCACAGGTTTTTATTCATTTAATGCCATTTGCCTGCTAATTGGTGGCGGGGGCTTCGTTTCTGTGGCTGCCTTGTAGGCTGCGCTCCTCAGCCTGGATGTTGCCGCGTTTCCGTGCTGTGCTAAAGGAGGAGCTGCGGAGAGGTGGGGGTTTGGGGTGGGCTCTTGTGCACCCGAAGCATCTAGCGCATAGGTGGTCCTTGACTTACGATCCCAATTGAGACCAGAATTTCTGTGGTTGAGCAAGTGGGTCACCGTTCTGCCATGGTTGTTAAGCGAATCACTGCAGCTGTTTAAGTGAACCACACGTGGCTGTTAAGGAATGTGGCTCCCCCCGTGGACTTTGCTGGCCGGAAGCTGGGATGCGGCAACTGTGGCAAATACATGCAGCTGTAATGCAAGCTACAGCCGTAAGCCCCCTTTTTTTCAGCGCCTTTGTAACTTTGAACAATCATTAAATGAATGGTTGTAAGTCGAGGACTGCCTGTATTCCGACTTCTAATGGGGGGGGGTAGAGAAAAGGTTCAAGGATGGACTGGAGCTCAGTGGCCCTTCCTGGGTTGCATTAACAGCTGGGTTCCCCCCCCACACACACACACACCCCGACCTGAGCCCAGCTGGAGTCCTCTGGGTGGAGCCGTGGTTAGAGGGTGGGGGTGGTCAGACTCTGCTTGGGGCGGCAGCTTCCTGCTTTGCACCTGCGCATCCCTGGGGGCGTGCTAGCACCTCCAGCCTTTGGAGGCCGCTTCTACTCCAGTCCGGCCCTCCTGCCCCGCCACCTTCCCTCCCGCTCAGCCTCCCAGGGGCTGCATCGGCTCCTCGCGTGGGCCTGAGTGCTTTTCGTGCGCTTTTCCATGGTCCACGTTAAAAACAATGGCTTCTGAAATAGGGCTTGCAATGGTTGCTTGATTGACGTATATATTTTGTTATGTTTTCTAAGCACAACCGGGTGTGGGGTTGATAAAGGCTGTGAACCATCTAAAATAAATGTGGGTTGCTTTTAGGCAGAGATCAGTGGGCAGGAGGCTCATCTTGGGTTTGTCACCAGGGCTCGGCCTTCCTGGCCAGGTGGGAATTGGGGCAGCGGGCAGGTAGACCCTCCTCAAGGTAGGCTTCTCTTGCACCCATGTGCCAGAAAGGTGCCCCAACGCAGCCTTGTGTTAATGTGGGTCCCGCCTGGAGGGACAGAGACGGATGGGTGGCCCCCCTGCTCAGAGGGTTTTCAGGCCTCGGCCCCCAGAGCGGCAGGTGATGCAGCGTTGGCCGAGGCAGCCGGTGCCTTGCAAGAAAGGGAGGCGGCTCAAGCAGCTTCCCACGGGGTAGGGTGGGGCAGGAGTCCTGAAGGCACATTTTAAGGTGCGTCATTTCAAGAAAGTCCAGTTGCCTCCTGAAAAAGTACCATGACCTGGAAGGCTGAGAATCCCCATAGACTTCTTGCTTTGATTCCTTCTTCGACATCAGCCACCGACTTGCTTCTTGGCCTCTGGTACACACACGTTCCTCCTGTGTATGCGCTCTGCTTGCTGCCTCTGTGACCTGTTTCACACATCCCTCTGTTGATTGGGCATGACAGGGCCACTGTAGTACTTGCACTGGTTTGACAGTGAGCTGCTATATTTCCGCTGTAGTCAGTTTGCACACCAAAGGTGGCCCGTGTACACCTGCAGACCAGTCAGTCAGCTGCAGCAGAGTGGGTGCTGGCATTGATTAAAGGCATTTTTCTTGCACATAGAGAAAAATCTCCCGGCGCATCCTTGTCTGCACGCCTCAACAATCTTTTGCACACCGGCTCTCCTCTCCTGAATGTCACTTGAACCCAAGACTGTCTGGATTATCATTTCACTGAAAGCGTACCACGCTGAGCGCTGAATGGCTGGCAAAACAACAGTTACTTCAGCCTTCTTTTGCAGTCTGGCTTTCTTCAGCTGGAACAATACATACTGCAGGCTTTCAATCCAGGGATGTTTAACGTTGATGTAGATGCATTCTATTTCACCCTTCTTACAGAGCTCATCAAATTCTTGATCTAGGGACTCCATAATTTTTTCCTGGGCTCTCTTGACTTTATTGTGGTCAACTTCAAGTCTCTTGTCTTCTTTGGTCATCAAGCCAGCATCTACGAAGGCGGCTGTGGTAATGGCAACAGTGGCACGTAGACCAACACTGTACCTTATGCTCTGCATAGCGGCATTTGTTATTTCTAATCTATGGTATTCTGTCTTTTCTTTTGAAGTAGAGGGCCCGTGGGTTTGGTCTAAAGCTTCCTCATAACTTCCATCACATTCCTCTCCATCTTCATCATCCATCGTCTGTCCTTCATTTTCATCCTAAGAGATTATTACTTCATTTGTCAGTATCGAAATGTCTGGAATGCTTCTCTGCTTATATTTCTTTAGCGAACCTTTGTCTCTCATTGTCTTGCCGCTTCTGCCTTTTGAATAATCATTTCTGCTCAGGCACATCTGGCAAACTGATCTGGTGTGATCCAAAAGAACCCATCCTGTCTCTCTGACCTTTCACAAAAGCAATGGTACCTTCGTCTCTTTAGGACTTAAGGTGAGCTTCCTTTTTGCAGCCAGCAGGGCAGCCCGATTCAGCACGCAGAACCATTTGACACTTGCAGTTGAGGATGTCAAACAGGTTGTCAAATTTCACAGCGAAAGTCTCTTTTGCATCTAGCTTTCTTCTACCAAGAGATCTGTTTTTGGCTTGATCCCAGCTCTCTTGGATCTTTTTCATGATTGTCACTGGTGAATTTACAACTGGGGTCACAAAGAACTGTTTCTTGTTCCCACTTTTCAGGCACTTTTGGATATATGCCTCTTGCAAGACTGGCTGCTGGGTAGTTTCTAGCGTCATCACTTCTTTGTTCTCTTAACAGTAGGCCATGCCTGAGAAGGTCTCGCAGTGTTAGAAGTTCAGAAGGCAAGAAATCTCTGCCAGACCCAGTTAGGTTGCAGATACGAGTGAATGTTCCCAGTCTTTTTCTTTTTTAAGATGCCATTACATATCAGTTATCACACTCACAGGAAACGAGGCCAGCAGTATTAACACTGTCAGACAGAATAACGTTTAACAAAAAGAGAAAGACAGCTGAACCTATGGAATGAAACAAACAAAATGTTACAAAATTATGATATTTATGTAGTTATTTACCAAGCACATCTAAATTATATTAAAGTAACAGAAATATCTTTACAATCCCCAAGGTGTGTCACAACTTTTGAGCATCCCTAACGTTTGGAAACGGAAAGTTGAAAAACTTGACACGCACTAGAAGCCACCCTGTACCTCTACACGCAGAGCCGGCTTAGAGAAAGGCTGGGGCGTCTCTGCAGGGCTTGGGATGCTGTAGTCCATGGGGGAACTGGCGGGTTAGGGAAAGGGGTCGAAGGTAACACGGCCCCAATCCGTCCTGCTTTAGTCATGCCCCGCCTAAGGACTCTGTGTGGTTTTGCCCTTGAAGAGAGGCAGAAGAACCTCCTGGGTGTGCCGTAGCCCTCTTCACCCCAAAAGCCTGCCTGGTTGGGGAGGCTCCTGCAGGGGGTCTCCTTCCGAGCAAATGGCTCGGAGCCATGGGCCCAGGCCGGACCCAGGCAGAGTTGGAGCCTTCGGCAGGGGGGCGGATGAGGGGCTCGCCTCTCCTCCAAGGAGCCTTCCTCCATGAGGATTCTGTGAAGAGGCCCAGCCGAGGGTCTTGTGGGGGGGGGGGGGAGGCATAGTTAGCCATGCCTGCTGGGACTTGGGGGGCAAGTTGGGTATGACCTGAACTTGGTGGTGCTTTCTGACTTTCAGCACCCTAAATAAAATGTTACAAAGTTGCTCTGAAATCCTTTTTTATTTTACTTTGGGCAGAGATTCCTGTGCCGGGGTTGGGGTGGGGGTGAGGAGGGCAGTGGGGTGGGGCTGCATGGCTGACCAGCGCAGGAGCTTCAGACGGAAGAACCGCAGCAGCAGCAGCAGCGAGAGGGCCCAGGAACTGAGCGGGATACAATTGGGGAGGGCGTGAAGGGCCAGACTTTTTTTCATCTGACTTTTGCATTTTTAATTTCAAGGCAAACCCCCCACCAGTCGTGGTAAACACGGAAACTCCGGAGACACCGACATACGTAAGTTTCTCTCCCTGCCTGAACGCTGGAATCCTTCTGAGCTCTCTGGGTCTGGTGTCACCGCAGTTAAAGAGGGTAGAGATAAGCCAGGATAATGGCGGCACCAGAGAGGGAAGGGGCGCTTGGCCTTTGCCCTGGTCTGTAGGTCTCCCATGAAGACTTGGGGAAGCGAGGTTGGTGGGCGTGGAAGGTTAGGGTCAAACTTCCGCAGGGCGTCCTTGTTCAGCGTCAACAGGAAACCTCTGGCTAACATCACCCATGAGATCAGCGTTTGGCATCATCAGGGTGCTGAGAGGAGTCGGATATGAAGCTCAATGTGCTGGGTTGCGCAGTTGAAGCTGGCAGCGTCCGGTCGTAGACTCTGTAGGCGATTCGGGTCTAGATGGGGCGGTTCCGCTCAGTCCCTGCAGCGTCCGGGACGTTTTCAGCTTTGGTCTTGGATGGAGGGTCTTAATGCGCAGTTTGGGGGAGCCATCCTGGACTCCCGGCTTCTGCCTGAAGGGCAGGTGGCGTCTGTGGCCAGAAGGGCCTTCCCTCTGGTGCACCAGTTGTGCTCTTCCCTCCACCCAGAAGCCCTTCACTGCCACCCGAGTACTTCACCGTTGCCTGGCTGTCCTTGGGGGTCACCCAGAGGCTGATGTGAGGGCAGGGATCCCAAGAAGGAGCCGGGAGGGCGAGACAAGAGCCAGCCCAGCCCAGAGTTGGATAGGAGGCCGAGGGTCAGGTGGCCTCTGCCTAGAAACTCCCAGGTGCCTCTGTTCAGGTGAGGGGCGTCAGGCTTTGGCCTGGCCGGATCCTGTCGGTTGGGTGTGAGCAGATAAAGAACTGACCGGATTGGGCTGGGCCTCTCAACTCAGCTGGTTCAAAATGGAGGCTATAGTGGGCAGGCGCCCCCCCTTCCCTTCCATTAAATGCTGCTGCCCGCTTGTAGGACTGAGCTTCCTTCTCTGCTGCAGCGCCCACCCTCCTTGCGTGGCCCCCGAGTTTCAGCCTTTCATTCAGCATCCCCTCAGGAAAGGGGTTGGCGGTGATGCCCGGAGCTACGGCAACTGCCACGCCCCAGGCGTCCCATGACCAGCGTTGCAGCTCCCACCCCCACCCACCCACTCCACCCCATCACTGCCACTGCTGGCTATACTGACCCCCAGAAGGGTGATGTTCTGACCCAGCCTTAGCAAGTAATGACAAGCCGCTTACTCACGAGTAAAAACAAACCCCCTTTCAACAGGGTAGGGACAGTCTTTTATTCGTGTGGATAAACAAAAAGCAAATGTAAGTAGTCCCAACAGACCTGGCCAAGAACTAGACCTTGCTTGCTGTATCCTAAAAGTGACCCACCAGCCTCTCCCAACCCCCTCCTATTTATTTCCCAGCCAGGGAGGGGCCGGCTGGCATCCATAGCTGCTCTTCCTTGAGAGCCAGGCGTATTGCCTCTCCCCTCCCCTCCTCTCCATGCACCCACTCATCTAGCACGGGGCCCCATCTGTTCCTCCCCCTCACTCCCTCAGCTCAAGCCCTGAAGGCAGCTGCCTCTCCACCTGGGGGAGGGTGGAAGGACGCCTGGCTCTGCCTCTGATGCTGTTTCCTTAGCTGAGCCTCCGAAAGGCTCTGAAGCCGGCCCAGGCTCCCCCTCAGCCGCCGCCTCGCCTGACTCTGCTGCTAGCTCTGCTGGCAGCTGAGGGGCCATAACAGGTGAAGGCCGGCCAGAGCAGCAGAGGGTCAGGTGGCTGGCATGGCAGGGGAGCTGAAGAGGAAGCAGCCCCCACCTTCCCAAGGTTCCCTCGAGGCTGGGTGGGACCAGGCCGTAGTCGGACCTCTTGTCTAACAGTCGGTGGGATTCAGTTAACAAAGGCATCCCCATCGCCAAGGGATGTGCTCATCTGACTGAAGTCCTTTAAAAGGGCATCGCTTAGCGATGGGAATTCTGGTCCCAGCTCGAGGACTGCCTGCAGAACAGCCTCCCCCAGAGCCATCTGGCCCCAAAATCCGGGAATATCGAGCCCATCCGCCATGAAGCCATCCTGTGTCTCCTTCTGGGTAAAAGCTCGGGGATGTCATGTCCTTGAGGTGGATGCCCCCGGGGTTTATTGGCCCGTAGCCTGTCCCCGCACCCCATCTCCGGCGATCCCCGTTTGTGCTAGTTAGAGGCACCTTTGAGGTGAAGAGTTATTCTCTCCATCCGCAGCTCGGCTGCTGCTTCCGGGCCTTCACGCTGCCTAGGACTACAGGCCCTCCCTTGCACTCGGAGCCTGCCTTCTGACCACTCCTCGTGGCTCCTCTTCCTTTCTTCCTCAGGTGCCGGTCCGGTTTCTTTTCCCCTTTTGGCTGTGGGGAAAAGTCTGGGCCCACTTCCCCACTCTCGGCCCTCTTCCCGTGCCCTCCCTCTGAGGTCTCCCGGGGAGGGCCTGTGATGGAACATGCAGATCAAAGCCCCTCCTGCAAGGAAGGGGGAGCTTTTCAAGGGGTCCTGGATTTTGCCTCCCGGGACCACCGGCCCCTGTTTCTGCAGGAGGAATTGGGCCTGTGGGCTGCTTCGTTAGTCGCCTTTCTTTTCCAAGTAAAATCAATAAAGCTAAAGAACCCGACAAAATAAGAACAGGCCTCCTGGATCAGACCGAAGGCGGTTCTAGTTCAGCCTTCGATTTCTCCCGGTGAGCGACCGGAGGCCTCTGGGAACAATAGAAGTTGGAGGGCACTCAGGGGTCTTCCAGCTCAACCCCCTCCCTAGGATAGGAATCCTCAGGCCATCCCAAAGAGCTGTCCATTTCTTGGCTTGAAACCCTTCAGTCTGGAGACCCCCCCCCCAACCTGCCTCACCCATGAGGCAAGCAGTTCCCCTGGTTCCCAGCTCAAACTCTGGGAAGAGCTCCTCTTCAGCTTGGGCGTCTGTGAAGAAGCTTCCCCTGTCGGGCTCTGCCTTCCTCTTGGGTGCTCCATGCCTTCACCTAGAGTCTCTCTCTCTCTCTCTCTCTCTCTTTTTCCCTGGGGGGCGGGGGGAGCGGGGCTTTTCTCTCCCAGCCCTTCCAGTCCCCTCTTCCTGGCACTATTCTGGGGCTGGGGTGCCCGGGGGCTTGTGGCAGTGGGGCCTGCAGTTCCCTCTGAGACCCTTGGCACCCCCTCCCTTCTCCATCAGCTTTTGTGGGATTTTCCCAAGTACCAGTGTCAATGCCCCCTTTTTAAAGTATGGGAACAGATTCCCTGCCCCCCCCCCCCCGCTCTCAGTAGTTCCCACCAGTTATGGCCAGTGATTTAGAGGTCACACCCACCAATTTCTTTTGCCCTCCGGGAGGTAAACCTGGGCAGCTTGGAGCAGAAGTGTCTTCACTCCCCTCTGTCGCCAGTGCAGCGGCTGTGTTCTTGTCCCCCTCGCCTGACGGTGCACTGGGAAAATCCAAATTCTTTGGAAATAATGTTTAAATCTTTTTGGGGTGGGGGTGGGGGTGTCAATCTCAGCAACTGTTTTGGGAAGTCCTAAAAGGTCTTTGTTCAAGCCGTAATACGCTTCCACCTACTTGTGTTGTAAACAGTGGGGTTTAACAGGGAACACCCAGAATCCTGTTCTGTTACAAAAAGCAGGGTCCCCCGAGCTCCCCCCGATTACCATCTCATTGATTGTTCGAAGCCAGGAGCTTCTCCAGCCTCTGCGTAATAAATGCCCACTCTCGAATGGGGTTTCTTGGCCCGATCATTTCCAGGACCGAGAATGGGGATCCCATTTGTTTTCTATTTCCTGTGGCAAATCTGGGGCCACCCCAAGGCTGGGTGCTGTGCACTGGGGCGTGGAAGGTACTCCTAGGGGCAGCTGGTCAGAGTATTGCAGCATAAATTCAGCGCCAGAAAAGTAAACACAGGTGGCTGAGGCTTCATTTAATTTGTTTGTAAACACATAAATTTTACAATACCAGTTGTAGATTTCTCCAACATGGAACAAACTCAAACAGAAGCAGACATTGCAGGTTCAGAGCAGAGCTCTAGTTCCCAGCAAGTAAGCAAGCAAGTTAGTTTCTCTTTCAATAGACAGACTCAGAGCTCAACATAGCTTCAGAGCTGCAGAGATTAATGTATAGAGCCACGCCTAGGCTACTTCTAGTCAGTTTCCAAACAGTCCTCATTGGCTGACTTAGTTGCTGTGCCTATTCATTGGCTGATCTTACCACCGTGTCTATTCCACTTCATGAATATACTCTGAGAGTAGGGAGAGCCTACTACAGACCGGGGTCAGTCCTCTAGGCACAACACTGGGGAGGGGCTGCTCTGCCTCTAAATCAGGGGGGGGTCAAACTCGATTTCATTGAGGGCCGCATCAGGGCTCTGTTTGGCCGGGGGGGGCAGGGGGCATGGCCAGCTCAACACCGCTCGTCTCAGGGATGCCTGTGGGGGCCCAAGGCCTCTGCCAGGGAAAGCGGGCTGCCAAGCTCTGTTTCGGGCTGCAATGGCCTCTTGCAAACCTCTGCCAGCAAAAACGGAGGTAGGGAGGGCCGTAAGCAGCCCCCCCCTCCCCCCCAGCTCCGATTTTGCCGGCAGAGGTACTGCGGGCTGGTCCTTTGCTGTTTCCAGGGCAGCCCCGCGGGCCAGATGGAAGCACCCCATGGGGCCCCCAGGCCTCGCGTTTGACTCCCCTTCTCTAACTCCTTGGCCGGAGGGGATGTTGTCGGCAACCTCCCCATTTGCATGTTTTGTGCGTTCGTTTAGGTCAACGGCACCGATGCGGAGTATGAATATGAAGAAATCACGCTGGAAAGGGTGAGTACCTGCTCTTCAATCCACCGAGTGAGTGAATTCATTCTGCTGTCAGTTAGAACTCCGCAGCCTCCACGGACGGGGAAGAAGCCGCATTCTTTCCCCCGTTTCTCCTCCTCAGTGGCTCCTGCCAGTCTTCCCTGCTCAGTGGCACCCGTGGCTCCATTCCACGGGTTCCAGGCTCAGGGTCTCTGACTTTCTTCACCTGGTTAATCTGGCCATGCCGAAGCCAGGGTGGGATCTTGGCCTAGGCTGGCAGGCTGTCGAGCAGCTCCTCTTGAATGGTGGTCGGTTCAAACCAGCCTGCGGGATTTAATGCCAAGGGAAGCTGTGCTCCCCATTTCCTGGCCAGCAAGTCCAATTCCCCGCCCCCTTTTTTTTAAGCAACCACCCCCAGGGTTTTATCAACCCTGGTTGTCACTTTTCCAGCCGCACTTCCACCGATTCAGCCTACCCAGCCAGGGCTTGTGAGTTCCTGGGGGAGGCTCTTTAGGCCTCCTCTCTTGATGAGGAAGCAGGCAGCTGCAGGGGGGCAGAGCCGGCATGGCAGGGGGGGCCGGTTCTCTTGCCAGCCGAGGGGGGGCTCCCGAGGTGCGTGGTTTCTCCCCTCCCACCGGGACAGGGCCTTCCTTCCCCCCTTCAGGATAGGCCCCTCGGCCACCCTGGCGCTCCAGGCTGGTAACCGTGGGCTGCTTTTCCAGGGCAATTCGGGCCTGGGCTTCAGCATCGCAGGAGGCACGGACAACCCTCACGTGGAGGACGACTCTGGCGTGTTCATCACAAAGATCATCCCAGGAGGGGCGGCTGCCCAAGACGGGAGGCTGCGGTAGGTCTCTCTCTCCCCCCCCCGGGGGGGCCTTCCTATCAGGTGTGCAGAACCTGCAAAGAACAGCTGGGTGGCTGTGGGGATGTGGCCTGCCTCAGTGGCACCTTGATTGCCCTTCCTCTCTCTCTCTGACGGGTTGTATTCATACAACGCATTAAGCCTGGTTATTGAATTAGCCCATTTTTCTGGATTTGCCCAGTAACTACTCTGTAATTACGCTGTAGAGGGTATCAGTTGGACCATAGACCCCAGAATCTGCTAGAGCAGTGGGTTCCCAAGCGTTTCTATACTCCACACCCCCAGAAAGCTTCTGATATATTCTCACACCCCTTGAAAAAATAAATAATGATGTGCATATAATTATACACATATACTATAGTTTTATCAATCGGAGGCCAAGTTTTTGCCCCCCCAGCTGGGAACTCCTGCGCTAGAGCAACTCGAGGGGCTGGGCTGGGGCTGAGGGCTGGTTCTGGAAGCTTTCCGCAGTTGTTCTAGCCAGGCCGTCTCACGGCTCCATGGCTGTTATTGTCAGGAAGTTCTAAGTTGTTTGAGACCTTTTTTAGAAATTAAATCCGTTGGTCTTTGAGCTGCTGCTGTCGGTTTCAGGGCAACAGTTCCCCCCCCTCTCTCCCCCCTCCCTCCCTCTCCCTCTCTCTCCCCCTCCCTCCCTCTCTCTCCCCCCTCCCCCCCTCTCTCTCTCTCTCTCCTCCTTTGTGAGAAGCTCACCTGCACAGAGACCCATGGGGGCTTCCGTTGTTGTGCGTAAGGAGTCTGGGAACCCTCCCAGCCGCCCTCCTCTGAGCCTGCTCTGCTTTCCTTGTCCTTCCGGGCAGGCAGCCCAGAACCCCAGCCCCCGTCTGGAAGCCTGGATGCAGTTCTCCTATTAAGGCAGCCCATGGCCAGTTAAACGCCTGCCTTGAATTGACCCCAGGGTGACTGTCCTCGAGCCAGTTCTCCTGGCCAGCTGCTGGTCATTGACAGGCCTGGGAAGCAGCAGCCCCTCCGTCCCTTTTCTGGCAATGTTGGGTAGCCCTGGGCTGAAGAGCGAGCCCGTGCTGTGGCCCCTGGGAGAGTGCAGAAGAACTGACGGCCTTTGGTCAGTCACTTGCAAAAAGAAAGCAGTTACTAGTCCCTGTGCACCTGTCTTTGGGGGGGGGGGGCAGCAGCTAAGTTTTCCAGCTCAAGAAGCCAGAAATCTTCCCATTGGAAATACAAAATTCTTTCTTTACAAGAATCTTTTTCCACTACCCATCAGTGGATTGGGGGGGGGGGGTGTTCAGAACGAATACAGAAACCACCTGATAAAGAGGGAACTCAGTGGGTCAACTTGTTTTTGTAAATCATTTTTCCCCCGTGCAATATTGTTGTCAATGGATTAAACCTGCCTGGCTTTTCTCATTTTATTTTGTTTATTTCGGAATAGGGAAGCTTGGGAGCTTGGCTCCCTTTGAAAGGCTGTCTCGGTGGCTCTTTGACACCGACATTAAGTTTTTCAGTTATCTTGGTTGTTGGGGAAAAAAGACACGGAGGTCAGGCTGAGAGCGGTGGACGAAGGCTCTAAGAAAAGAGGTTGAAGCTTCTCCCCTTCGACAGCTGCAGGAGTTTCCTTTGCTGGGCCTTCCGTTGAGCAGTGGGTTGGACTAGAGAACCTCTGAGGTCCTTCCCAACTCTGATTCTTTCGGAAAGGGACACCAAACCCTGACGGCCCTTCAGAGACTCTTGCAGCGCTTGGCAGTCGTTTCTGTAGGGCGGGCTTATCCCTTGACTGGGTTGGGTTGGCTCAAGCGCATCTATGCAAGCAGAGGCCCCGTAGCTTCGTTGTGTGCTGGGGAAGATGCGATTGGCACGGGGCCCCCTTTCCTCTGCAGCAGGGCATGGAGGAGCAGTTGGGTGCCACCTCTGTCAAGCCCCTGGGGAACCGACCAGCAAACAAATGCATTGTCAGTGCAGGATAACAAGCTTATTGTGCATTTTGTGATTTAGAGAAGCACTACGATGAAGCCACAGGTGGGATGGAAGCAGGGCCGTTTTCCATGAGAGTCGAACTGGGTGGTCAGGGGTCCTTCTCGGCTCATGACTCCTGGCCGGGGGCTGCCAGGGCCTTTGCACAGCTTCATGTGGTGCGGTCTAAAGCAATTCAACCGCTGCGTTGATCTTTTCACCCAGTTACAGTTCTTACTGGTGCTCTATATTCCAAGAAATGTCTCACTGTGAAACGAGGCAACATTCACACCTGGAGCAGATCTTAAAAGTTGTTTAGTCTATGCTGATGTCTACAGGAAGTGCCCTGTCGTGGCCATTAGGCTTGGTTCATAAATTTTCTTTTGTTCCTTGTCTTCCCTCTTCCCCACGGACTGGGAGCGGGAGCCCCAAAAGGGGAGACAGCGGTGGAAGGAAGCGGGCAGCTTTAGCTGAGCATGGGGGGGCAGTCCTGGGAGGACGCAGGCAGGGGTCACCCCAGCTGGACCAGGGAGGCAGTCTGGCTGCACACAGGGCAAGCAGCCTTCCTCCAGAGAGGGAGGGGGAAGGCAAGGGGGGGCTGCTTTGCTCCGTGTTCGATCGGCCCCCAGTCAGAGCATTCGGATCTGCGCCTGGGAGACCTGTGCTCCCCTCCTTCCCCCACCCCCACTAGTGCTGAATCTTGGAAGGCTCCCCTCTCCCCGTGCAGGGTGAATGACTGCATTTTGCGTGTGAACGAGGTGGACGTCCACGATGTGACCCACGGCAAAGCTGTGGAAGCCTTGAAGGAGGCGGGCTCCATGGTCCGCCTGTCTGTCAAGAGGAGGAGGCAAACCACGGAAAGGATGGTGGACATAAAGCTGGTGAAAGGGCCCAAAGGTTTGTCATCCGCTCCGGGTGATTTCCCCCCACCCCACCCCAGCAAAGAGGGTCTCCCCTTCCCCACCCTGCAGAGAGCGCCCTTTCCTGGGGGCGGGGGTCCCAGTGGGCTCCTGGCCAAGTCCCTGCTTGAGCATGAACGAGGCAGGGCTGTTGGGGGTCCCAGGGAGGGTCCTGAGTCACTGCCCCATTGTTTGTGTGGGGAGGCTGACGACCTTCGCTCCCCTGAAGCAGGTCTCGGGTTCAGCATCGCTGGGGGGGTCGGCAACCAGCACATCCCCGGAGACAACAGCATCTACGTCACCAAGATCATCGAAGGCGGAGCTGCACATAAGGACGGGCGGCTACAGATCGGAGACAAGCTGATGGCTGTGAGTTTAGATCTGTTCTGGCTTTTTCCACCCTTCCTTTGGGAGGTTCTCTTTTAGCCTTGCTAGGACACTCGGGGGCTCCGAGGAGGAGGAGGCTGGGGTGAAGGCTGGCAGGTTAGTTGCCTGTTAGGAATGAATAGTCACCTAACAGTTGGATTGGCAATATATAAACCAGGATAGTCATTTAATACTGTTGCATCTTTAAGAGAATGTTGTAATTGTGATTGGCTGAGGTTCCTCCAACGGCCATAAGATGGAGCCAGAAACCTGGTTTGTTTGGGGGTTTTTGCATTTCCTTTTGCCTATTCTGCTTGAATTGCTGTGAGTCTTGCAACTGTTAGCAAACTCCGTTTACTGAACTTTGTTTATGATACTGGTAAAGAAAAGGACTTCATTTTTGGATTATCTCTGGACTGATTATTTTGAATACTAACTGCTTTAACCGTGTATGATTTGGACTGTTTGTTGGACTTTGTTTCCCCGTTTACAGGAAGTAAACCTTACATTTTACTATTCAGTGTATCTGTGTGCTGGTTGTGTGAAGGGTCTTACCACGTGACCTCCCTGACACTTGGAGAGAGGCATTCCTGATAACATTTATCTAGGCTGTTGCAAAAGGCTGTGTTTTTTATGGCTGATTTTAAGTGGGTGCAGCTGTCGCATCCATGAGAAGGCCAGTTGGAATACCAAGTAGAGCAGGTCAAAAGCGCCCTCAGCCAGTAACCAAGGCCTCCCCAGTTAATGCCCAATCCAGAACTCCCGGATTCCATGTTTCACCATTCCAGGCGTGCACTCCTTCCCCCGAGAGGCTGTTCTCCTCCCCCCGCGTTCTGTCTTTGGCCTTGCCTCCTTCCTCTGTTCCTGAATCACCCCTCCCACTTGCATTTGAAGACTTGGAAGCCCCCCCCCCACACACACACACACACAAGCACAAGCCATTCTAGGTGAGGGGCAGAGCTGAGAGTCACCAGCCTCTTGATGCTCTTTCAGTTCCATTGCGTCTATCGTTTTCTGGGGTGGTTTCATAGGATTTTAGGGTTAGAGGGGATTATTTAGGCCCTTGTGCTCGTACACAAATGCATAGCTGGTCGCCTGTCCTGCCCTTCTCATCGCTGCTTCCAGTTTGATGTCAGGCCCTGTGCTTGAGACGAACGCAATCAAGACAAAACCAAGTGGAATAATTAGTTTCTATAGTTTGGAAATCGCGCCTCTGTTGTTGCATTCTAAAGCTGCGTTTGCCTTTTCCGCAATTTCACGACACGGCTGACTCACTCTCAGTTCTCAGGAGGCTGCCGTGTACCAAGGTTTTTTTCACTGCTTCCTATATTTATGGATTTGATTTTGTTTGCTGGGAAACGTTGGGTTGGTCTTTTACACCGACTTCTCTGAGCAGGGACAGGTCAGCGCCCATCTTAGCCCAGATGACGTTGGTCTTCCAGCCGGGAGCCAGAGACGTACCCCTCCCCCACCTTTCTTCCGCAAGGGGAGTCCGGAGGCCCCCAGCTCCCAGTCTGGGGGTAACAGTGAACCCTCAAAATCATGGAGCCTTTGGAGTCCCCTTTTCAAGCCACCCAAGTTAGTCTTTATCGCTGTGTCTTTTGCATTGCATTTAAAGGTAGTCCTTGCTTATTGACCCCTTGATCAAGGACCAGAGTTACAGTAGTGCTGAAAAAAATGCCTTTACGGCCAACTTGCATCCATTTGCGACATCTAAGCCTCCCTCTGTCACACGGTCACTGTTACAGTCGGTCTGCATTGTCTTGTGCCCGACCTGTGGTGTTTTCATTCTGCCCCCATTGCAAACCAGGCAGATCGGAGAGGAAGAGAGTTAAGAGCCACGTAATTACACTGGCAGCCTGGGGGTAGATACTGTGGGCACAGGATGCACACACAGCTTACCTTGCTATCTTGAAATCTCCCCCGTCCCACCTTTGCTCTGTAAGTTGGGAAAAAGTAAAAAAAAAAAAAAAGCAAGCAATTTCTGTAGGCAGTTTCTCCTTTGCCTGATCCTTTGCCTACTGCCAGCATGACCAACTTGCTTTTTATGGGCAGACTCTTGAAACGCCTTCCTCTCTAATCCTGCTCGGCTGGGGCCGGGGGAGGGAGAAGAGTCTAGGACTACTCGCCAGGGCCAACTCGCCGCAGGACAAGAGTTGCACTAATATTGAAGAAATGGTAGAATAGAATCATTAAAGAAAGGATGCCAAATGAGGGGCAAATGAAATGCGAATGACAAAAATTAAAACCATTTTTTATTTATTTTAAATAATTAAATTGAATTGTTGAATTGTCTCATGGTGAGTTATCCTGCGGGCAGCTGGCTGTGGCGAGCTGCAGAGGGAGGGAGAAGGCGGGTCAGGCGAAGCAGAAATTGCCTACGGAGGGAGGTTGCTTGCTTCGCCCTCCCCATCCGCAGAGTAGAGAGATTGAAGGGATTTCAAGGGAATAAAGCTGTTTGCGTAGTGCCCACACGCCGCCTCTGCCGGTGCACCCAATTCCAAAGGGTGGAGGAGTATTTAGAAGGCAAACAAAAGTTGAATGTGTGAAACTGAAGGGCCTTGTGTCTCCAAATTTGGCTGTGCGTAAATATTTTTGTAAAGAATTTTGATTGTAATAGTAAAATATAATACAAACTGAATTTAAAATAGAATAGAGACAAGGAGTAAAAGGAGCAAGAAAGAATAAAAAGGAAAGAATATATATAAAAAATTTCATAAAGAATTGACTTCGTTGCAAGAAGTATAAATACATTTAGTAACTCTTCATATTTAAATTTACAAATATTCATTTCTCCATCCCATATCCCATTTCTTATCTATAAGCCAATCCATGAAACATTTTTTCAGTCTTGGTTTCAACAGAAAGTCTGTAAAGGTAGCAAGAGATAATAACATATGTTGTTTTAACTTTGATGAAATAAACCAATTTTGTATTAGTTCATTTTATTGCTTTCCTTCAAACATTGTCAGGATTTGATTTCACTTCGTGGTCTCCTTACACACACTTTTTCAAGACTTTAATAAGCGTCTCTTATAAATCCAATAGGGAAAAAAATGATCTGGGTCGCTCTCCTGTTTTGGCTGAGTGGCTGTGAGTTTGACGCTAGGTAGTGGCAGATAGGGCAGATTATTAAAAAACCCTTTCTTGGTTTGTCATTTGTTTTTCTCTTTCAAATTTTAAAGCATCAGCCAGTTTCTTCTGTAGACCCATTGAAATATCCTTTTCTAAATCATTCTCTTGGTCTCTCAATCATCAATCCCCTTTTGATACCGTTCCTATCTTGTCAGATAAAATTGTTGTACTGTTGACATTACGTCAGTAACATCTTTTGGCCAGTCTATTCAAAGAAGCAGACACCATTATTGACCTTGTGTCTGTGGCTGATTCCATTCTTCAAAAGTCTCCCCCTGTATCCTTATTGTCCTAATGCTTTGCATCGGTCATAGCAGCAATCTGGAGACTTGCTGGGCCAGAGTCCAACGTCTGCCGGCGCCAGTGGGGTTCTCTGTCTTGTGACACAGAGCAGCGCCAGTGATCCTTGGGGAAGACCTGTTTTCTTCCAGGGATAAGCTGGTTTGCATTCTCCCTCTTCCAGGTGAACAACGTTTGTTTAGAAGAAGTGACCCACGAAGAAGCCGTGGCTGCTTTAAAGAACACGTCCGATTTTGTCTATCTGAAACTTGCAAAGCCCAGCAGCATGTTCATAAACGATGCTTATGCACCTCCTGAGATCACCGGCTGTAAGTTTGGATTTGGGGTGGCTGTTTTGTATTAGAAAAGAATTAACTAAAAGAATCCTTTCTCTCCTTGTTCTCTGTGGACATTTTGTTATTTTCTGTTTTGAACATTTTATTAGATTATAGAATAAAATGCAAAAATACAAAAGCAAGTAGGAAGACCCCGTGGGGGGGGGAGGTGAGGGGGGAAAGAGGAAACGGGGGGAGATGCTCCCTCTGTTGCAGTAGACTGAAGCATTAACATCAAACCCCTCAACGTTTTATTTTTCCACAATAATATAAACTAGCCGTTTCTATAACTGTGTGCCAACAATTTTCATGTAAGAATAAATAGCATTTTCACTTCTGTTGCCCCAGTGTCTTGCAAAACCATACATAATGTTGCTAAGATACAGTAACCGAAGAGAAAAGGGAAAAAAGATCTTTGCATGGGTTCTTGAGCGAAAGGATGACAAGCAGACAGAAAATGATTCTGGCCACTTTTGCAAACCTCTGGGAAAATCTGCAGGCGCAGGATGGGAAGCTTGGCTGGATAGAAGGGCATCTCTACGAAGGGTGGAAGATGTCCAACGCTTTACTCTCAAAATGGCATAATTATGACTTTTAACCCAGAAATTTTCTGAGAATTAAATAATTTGTTTGTTTAACATAACTCGAAGCCTTTCCCATTCCTGGGGGGTCTGAGCAAGGATAAAATTACATAACAAAAATTAGTGCAGAGGCCTCATCCAGCGCATGGGAACAAGAGCTTTGACTTGCCTGCAGAAGGCATCTGGGATGGAGGGGGGGTGCACAAAGGACATGGACGCCCCCCCCCACCCCCCCACTTCTGACGGGATCTTCCCGCTGGGCCTCTGTGCTGCTGCATGAGGTCTTCCAGGTCACAATCAGGACTATGAATTGCGCCTGGATTCCTGTTGGTAACCACTACAGTGTGGGCAGTCCTCGCTTACTGACTGCTCATTCAGTAACCGTTTGAATTTATAACAGTGCTAAATAAGCAGATTTATGCCAGCGCTTGATGCTGTGGCTGTTGCAGCCTCCCTGCACTATAGAGATCCAGGCGCTTGGCCACCAGCGCCCCTTCCCAACAGTCACCATCCCGCCTCCCCCCTGTGATTGCCGCTTGTGGCCTTCAAGCCACCTTCCCACAAGCAAAGTCAAGGAAGAGCCAGGCAGGAAGTTGTGAGTCGCAGTCATGGGGCATTGTGCTTGATGACCACGAGTGGTTCATTTAAGGACTGCAGCTGTAACTGGCGTCATACGTTGGGCGCTCTTGCATGGATTTTTTTCATTTACAACCACCTTGCTTCAAGGGAGTTGCCAGTTCCCTTTAGCAGTTGGAAAATGAGGACTACCTGGAACTTTAAAGTTGGTGTAGTTTCCTACGGGTGAGTTTGCGCCAGCTGTAATTCTGGGGTCATTCTCAATGGCGGCCCCAAGTAAAGCTCATACCACTGACCGAGTGGCGGTCGAGAGGTGGATTAACATTGCCAGGGCATCGTGGGTTGACCTACCAGGGGTACCCCTGGCAGACCAGCCAAAGCAGAAGCCAAGAACCCAGCAGACCTGAACTCGCAACCCATCTCCTCCCTTTGCGGGAGGGTGGGGAGAGTGGCTGCTACTGGAACCGAAGGAGCCTCAGGGAGCCTCGTTGCTCTGCTGCGCTCTGCTCTCCACCTCCCCAGCCTGAGCGCTGGGAGGGAGCAGCTCGTCCTCCGGCTGCTGCGATCCGCTTCAGGGCTCCCCCAAGGCCGACATTCCATGGGTTCAGCTTCAGCAGCTCCTCTGAACAACCCAGAGCCGCCTTCACTTTATCCGGGGTCTCCCTATCCTCCCTCGGCCAGAGTTTCATTCCTCGGGCCATCTGGCAATCCAGTCGTTTCCCATTGGTGTGTTTTCGTTCTTCCCCTTCCGCCTCTCGACCGCTGCATGGCCACCCAGGAGCTCCTTGCACCTCTGAGGCCTGGTCCTCAGAGCATTTCCTGAGACGGTTTTATCCTCTGGATGCTGCCTGGCCCTTGTCTCCTTTCTCCCGTGGGCCTGTTTAGAAAGGGCTCTGCCCCCGTTTGGAGATTCTCCACCAGGACCTGCAGGTTCAGCTTCTCTTCCAAAGTTTCCCACAGCCAAACAAACGAAGATTTCACGGCTGGGGGCTGGGGGGGCGCTTGTGCTGGCAAATACACTGTATGTGGAATGAATCCTTTCTTGCCGAGCGGTGCGGTGCTCTTAACATTCAGTGGCCAGCACCGGGGTCTGTGGCCCTACCTGGCACCAAGTGGGGGGGGGGGGGTGGGACGGGACTGCAGAGTCTGTGTTTGGCACTCTGAGGTTAGACAACCCAGGTCCCTGTATGGGCATCCGGCAGCCAATGCCGGCCGGGCTGCCTCCACGGCTGCCTAAATGCGGATGCCAGGAGGGCAGCAGAGTGTGGCTGGGAGGGGGGAACGGCACTCTCCTCTTTCCCCCCACCCTCCCCCCGTACGTCTGGCAGGAGCAGGTGGGCCTGGTGGCAGGCCCTGGCATTAAGGGGAACCGGGGCAGACCGTCAGAACTTAGCTGTCCAGGCGCTTAGCAGTGGCTCCTCGTTGGGTTGGGGATGGAGATCCTCCAAGGTTCGTTTTGGGCTTCCCCCCACAAGTCATCTGGCCTGGAGGTGGAAGTGGAGCTGAGAAGGTCACTCTTTGCCTTCAGCATCCATAGCGCAGAGGTGCTGGGCAGGTGAAGAGGCAGCTTCTGCCAACTGGGGCCCCGGGCAGCAGAGGGCATCTTCGTCTGACTGACCTTCCCCCTCCCCCTCCCCAGCTTACTCCCCGCCTGCGGAGAACCATGTCAGCCCATCAAGTTACCTGGGCCAGCCCTTGCCGCCAGCCTCGCCGGGGAGATACTCACCTGTTCCTAAGGCAATGCTGGGAGAAGACAAGATCACCAGGTAGGAAGAGTCCCTGCCTTTTCAACCATCTCTGCAATAGGTCACCGGGTGTGGCTGAGCCCTGGGGGCGGGGGGAGAAGATAGCTGGCAGAGCAGGGCACCCCAAAGGGAAGGAGGCGCCTGGTTGAGAGTGGGGGGGGGGGCATTCACTGCACGGAAGGGAAGGAAGGAAGGAAGGGAAGGGAAGGAAGGCTCTCGTCAGGCCGACTGAGGCTTTGCAGCATAGCTCACACCTCTCCAGAAGGAATATTCCATCAATGGATGACAGGCTTTCCTTGACTCACGACCATCAGTGCCTGGAAGAAGGGGAGCTTCACAGCCAGTACAGCACTTCTAGCTACATCGCAGAATGTGTATACCGCGTATATACATACAATGACAATAAAGTATTATTATTACTATTATTATTATTATTATTATTATTATTATTATTATTATTATTATTATTATTATTATTATTAACATATACTGCTGGAGAGTGAGCTAATTTTTATGTAAGTATACATGTTTCATTTGGAAAAGAGGTGATTACTAATAATTTGATTTTGAGATGATGATGAACTATATAGGTTATAATCTTCTATTGTTAATCTTTTACATAGATGATTATAAAGAAATATGGATTGAAATAGGTTTATATAAATTTTATAGATGCATATATCTGTGTATATGTCTGTCCTGAGTTTGTGCACCTTTGGCGGCTGTTATGCCGAGGCTGCAGTGGCTGTAACTTGTTTGTCCTTTTAGGGAGCTACGGAAGCTGGTGCTGCATCGGGGCTCCACCGGACTTGGCTTCAACATTGTGGGGGGAGAGGACGGGGAGGGGATTTTTGTCTCCTTCATCCTTGCTGGTGGGCCTGCAGACCTCAGTGGGGAGCTCAGGAAAGGAGACCGCATCATTTCGGTAAGAGCCTGCACTGGAGGACGCCGGTTGGGCCTCCTTGGGCTGCAGGGGGAGGGGGCGTCTTCTTGGCAAGGGCCCCCAGACTGTAGGGGGCTCTGCCTGGCAAGGAGGGCGTGGGGGGGAGGCCTCCGTGACCCACCAGGAGGCAGCTTGGCTGTCTGCAAGAGGCTGGGTTGGGTTCCAAGCTGGTTGATTTGGGGACATCCACGTCCTGATGCGAGTGACGTCTCCTTTGCGTTGCTATTCAGGTAAATGGCGTGGACCTCAAAGCTGCAACCCACGAAGAGGCAGCCGCTGCCTTGAAAAACGCCGGTCAGTCCGTCACTATCGTGGCTCAGTATCGTCCCGAAGGCAAGTGAAGGATCCAATGAAACCCTCTTTCTCTTGGGAACCCCCTGCTAATGGGGGAGAGGCTGCAAGGCTACGAATGTCTGGGTGACGTGAGTTGTAGGTTTGCTTCTCAGGTGCCTTTGGAAACTGACCCGAGAGGCTAGGGCCGGTCACAGGCAGGGGAGGGGGGCCCTCGGAAGCAGCGCCCTCTGGTGGGACCTGGGAGAGGCACTCGCCTGCCACCCCTCCCGTGTCCCGATGACTCTGGCCCTCTTAGTGCTGGGCAGGCCTGGCTCACCCCACCCACCCCGACACACACACACACCTGTGGGTCTAGATGCGCCTCTTCGTTATCCCCAGCCTCAAATGCCCTTCCCTTGTGTGTCGCCTTTTGCTTTCTTGTTTTTCTTTTCTTCCTTTTTATAAGTTGTAGTCCCCCACCCAGAGTCGCCAACTTTTGAAACATTTTAGAAATAAAACACCTAATAACATATTATGGCTTCATTCTTCAGAATGGGAATCTCGCCCTGTGGGAAATGTCTCTGCATTCCCTAGTCTAGTCCTCAGTTAGTGACAGTGAGTGGATCCCGAATTGATGTCAATGAGCACCGTGGTTGTAAGACCTGATGTCATTTGACCACATTTTTTAACGATGGCAATCCGTTGTTAAGTGAGAATCACAGGTCATTAAGTGAGTTCCTGGTGGCTTCCAGGCAGGCAGATAGGGCCCAAGGTGTGGCATGAGCGCGGTGGGTTGGGGAGGGTACAAGGGACTGACCAGAGCAACTGGCCACCTTCCCTGACAGCTTCCCTTTGGACTCTGCTTGCGGGAAGCCGGCGGGAGAAGTTGCAAAGGGCCGTCAGGTGACCCTGGGAAACACTTTGAAGGCTGAACTGTTAAACAAGAACCTTGGTCAGAATCCCCTGGCCAGTGGGGTCGGCAGCTCGGCCTTTCTGATGGAGGAGCACAGGGGACAGTCCCACGGGGGGGGGGGGGGGGGGGGGGGGCGCAGGCGCTTCCTCTCTCATGCAGGGCCTCCAAGGCTATAACCCACACCTTGGGCTGGACCTGGGATTGGCTCCGTGTTCCTTGTGTCAGCTTTGGAAGCCAAAGTGAGATTTGCCACAAACCTGAGGAAGTGGGGGGGGGGGTTTCAAATTGAGTATCTCTAAGTAGACAAAATAAAATTCTTTTGTTAGTTCAATGTCCTTGAGTATGGCGCAGAATGAAACAAGAATCTTACTTTAGGTTGGATCGTGATTGGGCCATGTGGGGATGGGATGACGGCCAAGCGGGGATGGATTTGTAGTTTTGAATATTGCAAGGGAGCTTGAAAACTTTCAGATGCGGGATTCCACCAATGTGCCAGTTCCTGTCTTAATAAAGCAATCTTTGACAAGATGTTTGTCTTGGAGTTATTGCTGGAGAGGAGGGTTGCTGGAACGCAGATGCCTTGGGCCATTTTAGGGCCGCTTTCTGTGCCAGCCTTTCTGTGGCTTCCGAAAAGCCTTCAAGTGCATTGCAGTAGTCCAAACGCAAGATGACCGAATGCCAGGGAGGCCCAGCGCTGATGCTCTCTCTCAGCCACGGACAAGATAGATCGTTTTGGCACTGGCTTTATTGCTAATCGAATTGGTTAATCTGCTGTTTCATTGCTTTTAACAATGTATGATTTTGTTTTCCAATTTTCTTAACTGAATGCTCACCAGAGCAGGAGTAGAAAGATCAGACAGATAGACAGATAATCCTTTTTTTATTCTGTCAAATTTCTGGAGTAAATTTGTATAGCCTTGCCGTGTCTTTTGTGTGTGTGTGTGTGTGTGTGTGTGTGTGTGTGTGTTTGTGTGTGTCTGTATGAGCAAGAGAGAGCAAATACGAGAGGAAGAATACGCGTTTTAAAGGAACACCAGATTAATGGTGGAGTTATTCCAAAAATCTAAGTGGGCGTAAGATTTGGGTTGCTCAAAACCCGGATGATTCCTCAGCAGTAGCATTTGTGGGACTGACCTGGCATTTCCCTTTTCCTCAGAATACGGCCGTTTTGAAGCAAAAATCCATGACTTGCGAGAGCAGATGATGAGCAGCAGCATGAGCTCAGGGTCTGGCTCTCTGCGGACCAGCCAGAAGCGGTCCCTCTACGTCAGGTGAGGCTTTGGCGGGGCTGCTGAGGGGCCTGGCTTGGTTGTTGGCGTACCACATGGAGCTACACAACGTTCGCCCCAACCCCCCTGTGGACCCTGCATCCCAAGCCAGTCCTGTGGAGGGGAGCGCCACGTTATGTACGACTCAGGTGGCGGCTGTAGAGTCCCATGGCTGGCAGGCCCAGCAGGCTCCCCATCCAGACCCAAACAGCCCTTGGCTGGACCTGGATGCTGTTGCTTGCTGGCCTTGGAGTCCAGAGGAACGTGGGCGTGGCCGGGGGCCAGGTGACATTTGACCCTATGTTGGCTTGAACTGCTCCTTGAGGAAGGAGGACAATCACAGTCCCCCCACCCCCCTGGCCCAGTTGCCCAGCTGGGATATTTCACCAACTAGGAAGAGAAAGCCCTAAGCTTCGCCCTCCAATGTGGTTGCCCATGGGATGCAATTTCCCTTTCTGCAGGGTCTTGAAACCCACCCTGACGTGCTCCCCTTCGCGCTCTCTCCCCTCTGGCTTTACCTCTCCAGCCAGGGCCAGGCCTAGAGAGGCGGCCCCACTGCCTGTTCTCCAAGTCTCTTGGACGATGAAACGTATCTGCTGCCCGAGAGCTGAGCAGGCCTTGGAGCCCGGCAGCCCTAACTAACTTGGTTGGGCAGCAGAGGCCTGGATATTTGGCTATGACTGAATGTCACGAAATCTGATCCATGAAGAGTCTATCCAGCCAGTCTGCTTGTCTTGGCCACCTGCAGCGCCCCCCCCCCCACCCCCCCCCAACCCCAATATCAGCAACAAAAAAAACAACCCTTTGCTTTTGTTCTTCTCCAGATTCTTTCATCTGCCCCCCCCTCCTCCTCCTCTCCTTGGGTCTCAAGACACGAGGGTCCTTCCTTCCCCCAGCCCCCCCCCCCCCACCCACCCCCCGGCTGCTCCGCCTCAGGATCAACTCTTCAGCCTCTGCGTTTCCCGCAAGAGTTTCATCCACCCCGTCTCAGTAACACCCATGAAGCCGCATTTGCTGCCCTACATTAAGGTGCCTTCCTGTAGGTTCCCCATGGCCTTTGCCTTGGCATGGCAGTGCTAAAAGTCTTGGGTCATGCAAGCTGAGCTGGTACAACTGTAGAAGCAAAGCAGAATATGCTCAGACCACAGGTAGCCCGTGAGACTCTGGTCGTTTTTCCGCCCCTTAATGCAGCAGCCTCTCCCGCAGCTGATGGCGCACCACCCAGCCTTGCGGTGCATCTGCATTGCCCGGCCCTTGTACTTGTTTCGGGAAACCCGGAGCAGTTGACCTGGTTTTCTCCTGGGGACGCGAAGCTCTTCCTCGGACCTGGTTCTGGCTTTCCCCTTCGGTTCTGTCCCCCGGTCACCTGTTTCCCCCTTTCTGCCCTTCGCCTTCTGCAGAGCCCTCTTTGACTACGACAAGACCAAAGACAGTGGCCTCCCCAGCCAGGGGCTGGACTTCCGTTTCGGCAACATCCTCCACGTCATCAATGCCTCGGACGATGAGTGGTGGCAGGCGCGGCTGGTGATGCCAGGCGGGGAGAGTGACCAGGTTGGCGTCATTCCCAGCAAGCGCAGGTATATCGGCTGTCTACTCGCCGGGCGGCTTGAGGCCTGGGCCAGCCAGGGCAGGGGGTGTGGGAGAGACTGGCTGCTCCCCTGCCTCCTTTCCTCCCCTGCGGTGAGGTCCGCCTTTTCCTGGGAGATTCTCTCCCAAACCTGATGGGAAGGAAAAGCAGGCAGGCTGAGGCCAAACGTCTCCCTTAGCATTAAAAAGGGTGAGAGGATTTCTGTTGCTCAGTGCAGGAAATAAAGAGGGAACAAGTTGAGATGGATTTCGGGATAAATAAGGCTTGCCTTTCACACGTTGCAACTTGCTGGAGCCCAGGCCTTCTCTCTTTTAGGCAGGAGAGGAGGGTCCGAGAGAGTCCTTGCGCTTCAAGCTGTTTGCCGTTGGCCTAGCTCGCCATGTAGCCATGTTCACGCCTTCTAATCTGCCCTGTTGGAGGCTCCAGGGTGAAGAAGTGATATGTCCCAAGCACATGTAACCCCCCCCCCCACAAGATGGGTTTAATATCAAAGTAGTTGCGGGGGGGGGGGAGGCAGGCAGGCAGGGCAACGCTGGAGCAGCATCCAGGGGCACATGAGGCAGGTGGCACCTAAGGCTGCTGAGAAAATGCCTGAGACAGCAGCAGACGTGGGAGGAAGGTCGAGGAAAGGAGGGGCCATGGCAACACAAGGCGCTGCCTGGGGTGCACCACTGACCGAGAGCTGAGGGGGCGGGCTCTGGGACATCCCACCAATGGCTGCAGTGGGCTGGGCTGAAAGTCGGCCCCGAGGCCGCGAGCATAGCAGCCCAAGGACGGGTCCTGAGCGCCAGGTCCAGAGAAGGAGGGCCTGGGCCATCCAGAGGGGCCTCGGAGGCAGGGAACAGGGTGCAGGCAGCAGTTGCGTATGCTGAGTGGCACAGCCAACTAGCCAGCGGGGTGTACAGGACATGCCGGCCCCAGTCCAGGTGGGAGACCCCACAGAAGGTCATGGCAATAAGAGGGCAGGGGTCCCGTGGAGCCCCCAGGTGCAGACGGTCAGGCAGCTGCTAGCCCACCGGCCAGACAGGCTGGCAGCAGAGAAAGACCAGAAGGCAGCTGGTGGTGGCAGCAGATGCGGTGCTGCCAAAGGACAGCAGCATCAGGAGGAAGGAGGAGGAGGAGGAGGAGGAGGAGCGAGGGAGAATTGGTTGTTGTTGTTGTTGTTATTGCGGCCCTTCTCCCCTGCGAAGGGACTCTGAGCCCCGATGCAACTGGAGGCTCCTGTGGTGCCCAGGAGATGGATCGTTCCAGGGCACAGAGCCCCCGCAGCCCTTGTGGCGGTTCCCTTCGCTGAGCCTCATGCCGTTCCCTAGGAAGCTTGGAGGGAGAGAAGCCACCGGTTTCCCTGGTCTGTTTAGTTTGGAGGAGCCGAGAAATAGCAGGATCCTCCCCCCCCTGCCCCCCCCCCCCAAAGGCCTTAACTGAAGCTACAGCGAGGGCTGGAATCTGCAGGTGGGGGTGGGTGGGGGCTCCTTTTCCACCTGCCGACCATCTGCTTGTTCTCTGAGGACTTTGGGTGGCTAACAACACAACAGCAAACAGCTCAGAAGTGCGCCAAGGACCGCATGCCAGAGCCGCCCACTCAAAACCTGTCTCCGGCCTGGCTGATCTAATGTCCCTGCCCCAGCGCCTGGGGAAGAGTCCTGGCTTTTAGGGCTTCCTAGAGGCATGACCAGGGTTGGCGGCCCTCAGGGCAAGTCCCTTTCCGGAGGGCAGCACCAGGAGGGGGCACCCAGGAGCACCTTCACTCGGCTGAGTCTGCCAGGATAAGCAAGCACAGTGGAGCCTTGGGCGATGCTGGAGTTTCAGCCCCTGAAATGCACCGTGGAGCCTCCTGGGAGCCCGGGCACAGAGCCAGGGGGCTGCATGGCTCTCCTTAGCCACCAATTGGGGGCGGGGGGCGGGCTACAGCTCCAGGACGCCTGCCAAGGACAGCTGTGGGAGACTCTGAGCTCTCTCAGCCTAAGAACGTGGGCAGATGGATTTGTGCCAAGGTCCTCTTAACCACAGGGGCCACCTGCTCTTCGAGCAGAGCTGTGGGTTCAAAATGACCCCCAAATTGCACCTCAGTTCCACCTCCAGGTTCAGGGAGGCCCAACAGGCACAAAAGCACTGACAAAAGGACTGGGTTGAAAGGAAGATGGCCGCCCCTCATCCGGAGGCATCACTCGATTGGCCCAGGCTGGAAATGTAGAATGTGAGTCTTGTCGGCATCTGAGGGTGCTGCCCCCCCGGCCAATGTTGGCAGATGGTCTTTCCCAGGGGTTTCATATACAGATGTGGAATGTGGTGGGGAGAGCAGAGCCTCAAGGGGGGTCTAGTACTGGACCTCCCCCCCAATACAAATTTGAGTCAGTCAGGGAGAACCATCACAGGATTTGGGGGAGGTCTCTTCCCCCACCCCCAACCCCCAAGTCTGTCTAAAAGTCAATGGTATCAATAGTTGCTGAGAGGTCAAGGAGGGCCAGGAGGACATGCCACCTAATTCTGGACCTGCTAAAGGTCATCAGGGTGACCGCTGTTGCCCCATAATCTCTTTCCTCCGGGATTCGAGGGAGCTGAAGACGGACGTCCTAAAAAGGGAAGTTTGGAGCTGAATGCAAGATGTACGGTTGTGATGGATCCGGCAGTGGTTTCTTGCAGACTCTTTCCCTCAAAGACACACGGAGGGATTCAGCCCTGGGTGACCCATGAGGGGCTCTGACCAGGCAGGAGGGACCCTGGAGGCGAACAGAGTCAACTCTCCTCCGCCATCCAAGCAAAGCTTCGTTTCCATGGGATGTCGTGCTAAGGGCCCACTCCCCTCCTGGCTGGGCTCTGGAAGCCCTCCCTGGAGTTGATCTGGGGTGGGGACTGAGCCCCTTTCTGGCAGGTTTCCCGTTTGCCTCGCCACCTGCTGTGTGTGGTGCTTCTCCTGCTCTTTGGAGTGCGGCCCAGAGTCGAGCAAACGAATGCCTGTGTTTGGCCAATTTTGTTGCACAAGGTGGTGCTTCTGTCAGGTGCATTTGTGAACTGCAAATTATTCAATTATTTTTTGGCCCATTAGGCAAGTACGGAGCGTGGGGAGGATTCTCCCTTCCGTGGGGAAAGCTCTGCCCAGCGCCAGTGGCTTTTGCGGATCCTCCTCCTCCTAGCAGCCGGCCTCGTGGCCAGAGAGGCGCGTGGGGGTTCTGCCCCACGAAGGGAAGTTCAGAGCCAGTGAGCCTCATGGGTTATCTCCTGCATTTCCCTTGCAGAGTGGAGAAGAAGGAACGAGCTCGGTTAAAGACGGTGAAGTTTAATTCTAAAGCAAGAGGCGACAAAGGGGTGAGTTTGGATTAATGACTGCCATTTCAGAGAGAGAGAGAGAGAATATACCTAAATATTTGTTCTTGTTAAATTCTGATGGGGACAATTGGGGGGAGGGGGTGCTTCAGGTGTGAAGCTGCTTAAAATCCAAGTCTCCCCCCAGAGGTGATGGTCCAACCTCCTTCTCCTCCTCCTCTTCGCCCACCCTCTCTCGGGCCCACGGAGTCCCCTTTTGGGAAGCTTTTCCTAACGCCCCCTCAGAACCTGCCTTCCTGAGGCCCCCTCGATGCTTTGGGGAGCCGAAGGTAGGGCCGGCCAGCTTGACACCCGGTTGCCAGAAGGTTGCCACGCTCCCTCAAAGCCAGGGAGCTAGGCCGGCTGCCTCTGTTCAGTGGGCAAGGCCGGTGCTCCTGACCACGGCGGAGCCTTCTGCCCAGGTGGTGCGTTTGCGAGTCTCCTGAGTATTCAGCCGAGTGAGCTCGCTTGAATTGCTTCCCTTCGGCTCTGCCGATGAGGCAGGGCCCGTCTGGGCCTCGTCTGGGCCCGGCTGCCACAGTCCCATCCCCAGAGACCCCAGAGCTCTTCCACAGGACACCTCGTGGCAGACCCGAGGGGGGGGGGCATTTTGGGGAGTCCCACCCCCGAGACCCTAGCCCTAAGGCCAATCCATTAGCCTTCTCGCCGTAGCATAAAGGGGAGGTTTCCGTTCGGAGGTTTCGACACGAGCACCGGATGCTAGAAGCTCAAGAGCTGACGAAGACTCCCAGGGCAGGTCCTGATTCTTTGTAGGCCAGGATTAGGGTCAGCTTTAGCTCTGAAGAAGAGCTTCTGGGGTGAGAAACGTCTTCCAAGGAAAACCAGGAAGTCCAGCTGCCGCTTGAAAAAAAAAAGGCACCTTTGGGGACAACCCTGACCTGGAGGGCTGAGGGCCTCCCTAGACCTTCTACTGCCAGTACATGACCCCACCCTTCAGATACTTAGACGCATCGGGCTGGAAGGGGCTGTGGAGGTCTTCTGTCCAACCCCCTGCTCAAGTCAGGGGACCTTAAATTCCATTCCGGACAAATAGATACCCGGCCTCTTCTCTAAAGACCTCCGTGACGGAGCCCCCACGACTCCAGGAGGTCCAGCTGTCCTCACCGGCAGGAGAATTTCTGCTTAGTTCCAGGTTGGAGCTCCCCCTAATGAGCTTCCTGTCTTTCCTTCAGGGGCTCTGGAGAGTAGGTCAACCCCACCCCACCCCCTTGCCTGGGACAGCCCCTCAAGTACTGAAAGGCGGCTGTCACCCACCCCAACCCTCCTGGGCTTCCTCAGGCTGGACACACCTAGTTGCCTCAGCCGTTCATTATATCGTTTAGTCTCCAGACCCTTTATCCCCCCCCCCCCCAGTTGCGCTTCTCTATAGTCTTTCTTGGGGCCCGGCCTCTTTTTTTCTAAGACATCAGAGCTGGACGCTGCGTCATCCCAGGGGCGTCCTTACTGCTGCCGTCTGAAGCGGCGCTATCGCTTCGGTTGCTGGTGACGCTGTCCCTCTCTGGAGGCTGCCTAGGATTGCGCTGGCTTTTGGGGCAGCTGCAGCAGACGGCCGGCTGGTACCGAGGTGCCGGGGGTCCACCTGGTTCTCCCTCACGGTTGCTGCCTGACGGAACTGCCTTTTGTTGAATAAGTCCCTCAAGATCCGTCTGCCTGTTGAGTCCCCCTTCTATCCCCTCATTTACAGAAAGGTTGAGCCCTAAGGCACCCCACTCCCTCCGTGCAGGGCCTTCTCTCTCCCCTGGACTCTGATCTCTTGTGGGCACCTTCCACTTTGTCCTTCTAAAATGGGGCATCCAAAATCGGGCACAATGTCCTCAGTTTGGCCTAGTTTGGGGACAGTAATTGTCTCAATAAATTCTCTCCAAATAAAGGGAAGGGAGGAAAGGGCACTTCCAGAGCTGCCAGATTCTGTCATTGCAACCTTGCAATAAAGATGGTGTCAATGCTTACGGCTGGGGCTTTTGGTCTGACTAAGGGCCGACACCGGCCTTGCAAGACCGGAGGCTCTTCCCCTCCCCTCCCTCGCTTTTGCTTTCCAGAGAGGCTCCCTTCTCACAGGCCTCCTCCGAGTCTGCTTTCCCCTGGGAGGAGAAGCCCACAGGATTCCTGCTGGGGGGAGGCAGGTGCTCGGCTGCTGGCCGGGCCCATTATCTCCCACCCGCCCCGGGCTAGCCGAGTCACGATCCGTCTGGGTTGCCCCGATGAGGCACGGAAGACCAAATAAACCTTTTATGGCACCTTGGCGACCGTCCGTATCCTGTTTCTGTACAGCCTAGGAATCCAGGCCTCTGTCCCTGGGCCTGTAGGTCAGCCTCCAGGGTTCAACTCCCCTCCTTCTCCCTTTCTCGCCCTCTGGGGCCCAACCCTTTTCCACCCCGGGAGGCAGCCGGTGCGGGCTCTGTGTTTCTGTCCTGATGTTCTCTGTGTGTGTGCATTTTGGGGTCAAGTGATTCGTGGTCAGGATTTGATTTCCTTTGGGAAATTGGGGATCAGGAAGGCAAAGGGAATGGGTAGCTGACTCAACCCGGCGGCCTCTGCTCAGGCTGAGCTGCAGGGATCGCTGAGCCGTTGGGGCCTGGCCTGGTTCGTCCTCTTGGGAAGAAGGAAAGGGCTGGCCTGGCCCTCCTGGCCTCCCCCAGTGGGGGACGTGACTTGGCTGACCTGTGACAGGGCAGCCAGAGGGATGACGAAGAGCAACAAGAGGCTACCCATAACTCTTCGCTCTCTGAGTTCCCCGGCGGTCGTTCTCTCCTCTTTCCCATTTGGTGAACCTCCCTCCCTGCTCTCTGAACTGAAGACTCGGAGTGAAAAAAACGGGCACCGGGTGAGGGGAGTGTGAGGGGCCTGAGGAGGACCGCGGGAGGAGCTGTGTGCGGTGGGTGCAGCTGCAGGCCCTTTAAGAGGCCAGCAGCCCTGGGCATTGGGGTGCGAGCAGAGCTGTCTGGCTTGCTTGCTTGCCCCCCAGCCCCAGCCCAAGGTTTGCCACACCCGGCAATCCCTTGCGCAAGCAGCCACACCTGGGGAAATCCTCGGGGCTTGGTCAGGCAGTGGTCAAAGAGGGCGGGGGGGATATTGGCAGGACTGTTTATATTTACGGATTGATTGATTTGATTTCTGTAGCTGCTCACGGAGGGCGGGGGTGCATCAGTTATGCTGCACTAATCTCCCCCTTTCCCTCCGCCCCGCCCCCGCAACGTCTTGCCCTTCTGCGTGGCTAGAAGGAGCAGAACATCCTCCCTCCGTTTGGCAAACCGGTTGTTTACGGAACCCCTTGGAGCCCGGAGCTAACCTTTCTTTTAGGGAAGCATGCCCTGCAGCCGAGCTGCCCGTGGCTCTTGTACCTTAACCCTGCACCAGACCCCCATGCATGAGGACCGGAGGAGACCCTCAAGTACGCTTGCCATTGAGAGACAACCGCCCTCCCGCCTGCCTGCATGCCCGCCTTCCGCCCCTCGCCTTGCTGTGGCTTTCCCGCGGGGAGCAGGGCTGCCTCTCCCCCTCCTCTAGCATCCTGCTGGAAGCGCTGAGCATGCTTGCCGGGGCCAATGGCCGCTTACTGCCCTTGCCCGCTTTGACCAGGAGTGCATGATGGACGGATCTCGGGCAAAACTAACCGGGCACAGCAGACAGAGGGAAACCTGGTGCAAAATTGATTGGTTCCTTGATGGCAACGGGGAGTTCCCTCTTCTGCCGCATGTGGGGCCCACCCCGGCCACGGCTGGGTGCTCGACAGGCTTGCTCCTTTGCTTGGCTAGGGTTCACTTCTGCTAAGTGACATGCTGGCCAGCCCCGGCCTTTCCTCCCCATGGCCTTTCCTGCCCCGTCCCGCCAGAGCTTTAACCCGCCTGCCCAAGACCAGCGAGCTCTCTTGCCCAAGGAAGGGGTGGCGGGCAGCCTGGAAGCCTCGTGGGTGACGGCTTTCACGCGTCCCGAGGCAAAGACTTCCAGGCTTGTTTTATTTCATTTTATTTTTGCTTTCGGAGCCGACTTCTAATCGTTCTCCATGCAGCAAAGGAGGTTTCCTTCAAGTGGGGGAGGCAGGACAGCAGCGGGAGTTTTTATTCCACTCCATCCCTTATTCTATCTGGTGGGGGGGGGATCATGAAAAGTTGCCCAAATTGCTTTTGGGGGGTTGTGTGGTTCATTTGCACAAACCCTCCTGGACCTGGAAGGGCAGTGCCCCCCTCCCTCCTGGCTTTATGAGGGGCGCAGGCTCCCCCTGGACACCAAATTCGCCCGGTTATGGATTTGCGAGCTTCATTAACCCCTTTAGAGCTAATCCCCACCCCCCACCCCAAATGGAAGATTAAGGTTAGCCAGCTGAGCATATTTTAACTGACCAGGTCCAGCATGCTGGTGAAGGTAGTCAGTTACTTGTCCCCTGATTTCCTGGGGCCCAGGAAGCTTTCAGCAGCCTTCCTGCTTAGTGTTTCCAGTCCTGTCCCGTCCCCCCGTCCCCCCCCCAACCCATAGCCGATGACTGTGGGCCCAAGGGAAGGGTCCAGTACACCTGGCTGGCATATTCCACTTGCTTGCCCCCCCCCCTCCACCTCGGTGCCCATGCCGAATGTTGGGGGTCTAACAGGGACTTTCAGTCGCTGGGAGCCCCCAAGAGTTGCAGCCAAGACCGGCGGCTCTCCCTGGGCTCCTGCATGTCAGCAGCCTTGCCCAGCCCCCTTGCCCGAGGGCCCTGTGACCCAAGTCCGCTAGGCAGGGTCTCCGGAAACCCACAAGCTCCTCAGACTGAAAAGCAGGGCTGGTTTCCTCCCCCTGTGGGGGCAGATAGCCTCATTTCTTCCGAAATCCATGCTGCCCCTCCAGCAGAAGGTGCCAGGGCACCATCCAGCCTCTTGCTCTTAGGAGGGAGGACCCTGTAGGCCACAGCTTTATTTCTGGGCACAGAGCAGAGTGCCCCTCTCCCCGCCCAATCCCCTCTCTCCCGCCTTGGGCAGAAGCAGGGGACCTGCATGCTGGAGGGTAGAAGTCGGCCTCCCCCTGGAGCAGTGGTGGCTGCTGGCTGGCCCTGGGCCTTCCTGACCTGCTGGACGTCCGACACCCACCCTCTGTTTGCCCCTTTCCTTCTCTTCTTCAGCAGTCATTCAATGACAAGCGTAAAAAGAACCTCTTTTCCCGAAAATTCCCCTTCTACAAGAACAAGGACCTGAGTGAGGCAGAGGCCAGTGATGTCGACCGTAAGTATGGCGGGGAGACACCGTCTGTGCCGTGCGGTGTGGCCTGGAAAAGGGCCCCAAGAGCACCTGTGGGGAGCCAAGCCCTGGGTTGCCGGCAGGGAAGGGGGGGGGTCCTCATTCACCTCACTTTGAGAAGGGGCTTCAGGGAAGTCCATTCTGCTGCTAGCAGGGCAGTGGCGCTCTTGAACCGGGGGGCGGGGGGGGGGGCTAGGGGGCTGGCTCCCCACGGGTGCTGCTGGGACCATCCTGGAGCAGCCTCCGGAGGATGTGCTACTGATGAATGTTTTCTCTGTGATTGTCTCCTCCTTGCTTTCCCTCGGGGAACTACTCCACAGCAGATCCCTGGAGACATGGGATCAAAAGGCCTGAGTAAGTGACCCCCCGCCCCCACTCCCTCCCCTTCCTCAGCCCTAGCTGTGTCCCCACCCCCCACTTCCCCCCTGCAGGCTGACGTGTTGGGGAGTTTTCCAGCCTCTTCTTCCTTTGGTTCGGGGCTGAGAGGACGTGACGGTTTTGGGAGCCTTTGCACATTTCGGTTGCCATCGGTGGCTCAGAAATGGGGCCGCTTCTGCCCTGGCAAACGTCAGTGTAACACTCTGCAGGGTTGGATAAAGGCTGCCAGGCCAAGCCTCTTGACCGCTGCCACCAGGACTCTCTCAAGGTCTCCCTGGGTACAGGCCATCCTGAGAAGCCCCTCCCTTCTCATGGGGAGCTTAGCTCTAGGTTAAATCGGCTCCATCGATCCCTTTGATTTGCTCTATGACAGGAGTCCCCAACCACCGGGCCGCGGACCAGTACCGGTCCGTGGAACATTTCCTACCAGGCCGCCGGTTTGCTGGGCGCCGCCATCTTGTTTGACAAGAAAGTGCTTCCGGGTGAGCTTTTCCGGTTGGAAAGCGGCGTTTGGGTCCTGAAGGAATCCTCGCGCCTTAGTTTCATCGAAACGGGGGTCTTCGAACGAAACTAAGGCGCGAGGATTCTTTCAGCAGCCAAGGCAAGGCGAGCCGAGTGACCGTCCCGAAGCCGTCCCGAAGCGAAGCCCATCGACAGAGGTACAAAGGAGGAGTTGAAGGTGGCAGGGAGAAGCAGGGGACGGCTGGCTGGCCGGTCGCTCGGTTCGCCTTGCCTTGTCATGCATGCTGATGCCGGTACCGGGCCGCGGATCATTTTGTGATGCCAGTACCGGGCCATGGCAGAAAAAAGGTTGGGGACCACTGCTCTATGAAACACAGCCACCAGGGTCCTCTTTCCTCAACTGCGAGGTCAACCTCCCCCACCACGTGGCTACCCCCGCCACATTCCCCACTCAGAGCAGCCCCTCTCCTGAGGGGCCCCGAGGCTGCTTGCCCGCAGAGCTTTGGCCCTTGGCAGGGGGCCATGGTTGAAGGCAGCCAAGCCAGCCACTCTGACATGCCTGCCTTTCCTCCAGAGTCGTTCCTTGGGCAGGTAAAATCCCCAGAATGATGGGGGGGAGGGTCTGCCTGCAGCGGCCCCTGCTCCTGCTGCACCCGGACGAGTGCGGTCGGCCTGGCTCTCTGCTCCCTTGTCCGGCTCGGCCAGCGGCAGGCCTCCTGTTGCTGTCAGAGGCCTTAAGCTCCGTTTGGCCAGGCCGTTTAAGGCCTCGTCTCTAAGCCAGGGTGGCCGCTGGGCCAAAAGGCTCCTCTTCCCTCCCACCCTTGATTGGAGAGGGGATACAGAATGGGCCTCCGGGGCTCTTCCTGAGGAGCGGCCTGGATCTGTCTCCTCAAGCACGTAGGCCCCGGTGCTGAGGCGCCCTGGAACCAGGCCCAGTCCCTCTTCCCCCACCCCCCCCGAAGATGACTCCAGAGGGCTCCGTCTGGGCTGTTGGACAAAGCGGACCTTTTCCTTGTCAGCCAACTCTGGGTGGCTCCCAGTCAAAATTTAAAAGACACGCGAGATCTTTTTAAAACGATAAAACAACTAGTTAAAACAGTAAAATAACAAAAGCCTCTGGTGCCAATTCCTATTAGTATGCCCTCAGCTCGTTCTCTCCCAGCGCTTGGAGGAAAGAAAACCGGCCTGAAAAGACGCTTTTGCAGCCAGAGTGACCTGGGGTGCCATCTTCTGGGGATCCCCACCCTCCTCCCTGCCTTTTCCTCCTCCTCCTCCTCCTCTTCCTCCTCCTGGGTGACGGTTGTACTCCCCCCCCCCGAGGAATCTCATGAAGGGAACCTCATGGCTCAGGCTCATCCTGCCCTTCCAGAAAGCGGATGTGAAGGCACGGGTGGCTCTCCAGCTGTAGGCCAGGCTCCCCTTGTTCCAGGCGGAGACAGCCAGCCCCCTTGGGGCCCTACAACTGCTGTTTCTGGGGTGGGCGGCTGCTCCCCTTCATACCCAGGTTCTGGTGAGGGCCTCCTCTGAGCTGGCCCCCTCCAGGTTATGCCCACCGCCATGTGGTGGGAATGGATTTCGGAGGTCAGCGGTGGGCTGAATGGGGTTCCTGGTCCCGATCCCTGGAAGGAGGCAGAGAGCCGCCTGGGTGTAACCACCTTTCTTTGGAAGCGTGTTGGGAATTGAGGGTTTCTCTTTCGGCTTTAGGAATGTGGTCCATGGAGCGGGAGAACGGTGAAGTGGGTCAAGAGGCCCGCTTGACAGATACTTTCCTTGTCCCGAGTAACCCATGGAGGTGTACTTCCCGCCTCCGATGGGCCTTGGGGTTCCTTGGCATTGCTCCTGATTTCTGCTTTGTACTATTTTCAGAGCACGTGACTTCCAATGCCAGTGACAGTGAAAGTAGTTACCGTAAGTGTGTGCAACTGTGCTCCTTCTTGCTGTTTTTTCTGGGAACTTTCAGAAATTCAGGCTTACTTTTAAGAGCAGCTGGATACTGGAGGGGCCCTTAAAGCTTCAGCTGGTGCAAAAGACAGTGGCTGCCAGCTGGTTCCTGGGGGCAATTCAAGGCGCTGCTAAAGCCGCCCCCACCCCATGGCCAAGGGCTTTGTTACCCGAGGGCTGGCCAGTCTCCCCAGCTGCATCCGCCCACCCCGTCAGGCCTGGCAGGAGGGGCGTGTATGGGCCCCATTGACCGAGGGAGGTCATCTGACGGGACCCAGCAGGACGAGAGCCTTTTGGGCCCCAGGGGCTGTCCTGTGGCCCCTCTGGAGCCTGCCTTGCCTTGCCTTCCCAAAGGCTCCAAAGTTGTGGCTGGGTCAAGGGGCTGGTGGGGCTGGCCGGGGTTCGGAGGCTGCTGGGTGGCTGCACTGGTTGACCCATTACTTGCCCTTGCCTGCGTTTCATGCTTGCTGGTCTTAGTTTTGCTTTTTCATAGAGTATTAAATTGGTTTCTATTTTGCTTATCCTGGGCCTTTGAAGAAGGGCCCCAAAGGAGCTTCTGCAACAATCTTGTTGCAGAGTTCATTTCAGCAAACTGAAAAATAAAACCCTTTCACTGACCTTGTTAAAGATTCTGTAAGCAACAGAGGCAAAAAAGGGAGAGAGAGAATAAAAGCTTCATTATGAAACTTCAAGAAGTGCGCCAAAGGTAGTTAAAGAGAGCAGCCTCCTCCGCTTCCTAGTGTCTCCCTTGTCCTCCAGCATTAATCTGCAACTCTCTTCCCTTGCGGGGGGGGGGGGGGGGGGGCGGACGCCCCCTGGGGGGCTTTGGGGTCACTGGTAGGAGGCCTGGCCGGGCAGGAGGGGCTGAGGGGAAGGGGGCTGCGCATCCTATAAAAGCGCATGTTGAAGTCACAGTCTCTGATGGCCTCTCTCTTGACTCTCCAGGTGGCCAGGAAGAATGTGTCTTGTCTTATGAACCGGTCACCCAGCAAGAAGGTTGGTACCGTGAACGGCCTGTGAACGGCTGGGGAGTGGGTGCTGCCCCTTGGCTTGGCAGATATAGGTGTCCCTCTTTAGCACCGCAAAGAGCAAAGCTGCCAGATTTCGCCTTCCCTGCGCTGTGGCCGGATCAGTCAGAGCCAGCTCATGATTTTGAAGTGCATGGAAGAGAGGAACAAGTGGACGGCTGCTCAAGAAAACATTGGTTTCATGACAGCTGTTAAGGGGGCTGGCCAGCTGCTGTTCCTGGTGGCTCTTGTTGGAAGACCAGGGGCGGCGCTGACTGCCTGCCTGCCTGGGAAGCTCTCCTGGGCTCTCCCAGCCCTTTTCATGATGCTTTTTACTGGCTTCTGGCAGGAGGGGAAAAAATGCTCCTTCCAATGAATGGATTTGTACTTACGACTGCCGCGTTCACTTAAGGACTTACTTGCTTTACATGGCAAATCTACTTTCGATGAGCATTTAAAGCAGGAGCCCTCCCAGCTTTTCCTCAGGTGGGCTTCCCGTTCAGTCTCTGCCTCAGAGGGTCTTCCTCTCCATCCGCCCTCATCCCCAGGGCTCTAGCCCCGACACCTAGTCCTCACTTAGTAACCACAGCTGAGCCCAGAATTTTGCTCGTAAGTTGTTGTGGTCATTAACTGGGTCATCACATGACTTGATTCGGTTTTAAATAGTCCTTAAGCAGATCCATGCCCCCAAATGGAGGCTCTTGGCTGGAAACTGACAAAAAAAATGCCAGAAACCAGCAACAAGGCCTTGCCAGTTGCGGTCACTTGACGCTGCCACCGGTTGTAAGTGTGAGCGGTCGCACCCTTCGTGGCCGCAGGGAGGGAGCATGCCGTCTCCGTGCTGCTGGTGCTCAGGGTGGGGTTGCTGAAGGACCCCTTTGGGGAAATGGCTGAGGCTGGAGGGCCAGTGGCCCTGCGCCCTTCCCCCACTTTCTTAGGCCATCTTCCAGAATAGAGGAGACGTGGCCCTTCTCTCCCCTCTCTCTGCCCAAATTCCCTAACCGGAGGCGGACGGCCCTGTTTCTTCTTTTCCAGTCAGCTACACGCGTCCCGTGATTATCCTGGGCCCCATGAAGGACCGCATCAACGATGACCTCATCTCGGAATTCCCTGACAAGTTTGGCTCTTGCGTCCCACGTACGTGTGCCACCTGGGGGGAAGGCGCTGGGGGGGTGCTGTGGCATAACAATTGGCCCCCGGGCCCACCACGGCCTTCTCCAGGGGTGGAGATGACAAAGCAGGCAAGCACCCGAGAGCAGGCCCAGAATCAACTCACTGGGGCATTTGCCCTGATCAAATCCGTCCAAAAAGAGATTGCAGGTGCTCCTCTGGCCTCCTAAGATGGCTCTGCCAGAAAGTTCTGGTGTCCTTTCTGAAGGGCCTCTGGCTCTCCCGCCAGAGCCAGGGTGGCCATAAAGGGTCATCCTACACACACACACACACACACACCATTCTGCCAGCCTTTCTTCTGGGCATTGATGTCTGTCTTGGCCACACATCTCTCCTCGTTGGGTCTTGTGTCCAGCTCTTTGCATCATTTGCAGAAGAACTTGGTGCCAGTGTGGACATTCGCTGATGTCCACTCAACCTCTGCTCTCTCTCGCTCTCTTTCTCTCTCGGTGAAGATACAACCCGACCAAAACGAGATTACGAGATGGATGGACGAGATTACCACTTTGTGATGTCGCGAGAACAAATGGAGAAAGACATCCAGGATCACCGGTTCATTGAAGCCGGCCAGTACAACAACCACCTCTATGGGACGAGTGTCCAGTCTGTGAGGGAGGTGGCCGAGAAGGTAAAGGTGCTGCTTACACACACACGCACGCACACACCCCTTTGTATCGAGGCCCCATGGCCACTGGTGCTGAGCAGCTCCTCAGGCAGCCTCTCCTTCCCTGCCAGGGTAAGCACTGCATCCTTGATGTATCTGGGAATGCCATCAAGAGGCTCCAGAGTGCCCAGCTGCACCCGGTCTCCGTCTTCATTAAGCCCAAGTCCGTGGAGAACATCATGTGAGTGCTTGCCCCTTACTGCCCCTCTGGCTCCTTGGACACCTTCGGGACAACCCCAAGGAGCCTTCCAAGATAGTGGAGTCAGGGCCGCCCAGCTGGCAGACTGGCTACGGTCCGTGAGATCCAGGCCCTGATTTCTCCTCCAGAACTGAAAAGGCGACTCCCTCTGTCTTCCCTGATGTTCAGCATGCCTGGGAAGTGGTGAGGGGCAGCAACCTGGGGAGGTTGAAATTGGAGGAACCTCCCGCCCGCCCCATTTCCCGTCCCCAACAAAAGGAAGCCCTGCCTAGCCTCCCTCACCCTCCCCCAGACCTTCCTGTGCATGTTTAACAAAACCTGCTAAATCTGCTTTGTTGATAACGCTAATGAGTTTGAAATATCTGCAAACCCAGGGAAATGAATAAGCGATTAACGGATGAACAAGCTCGGAAAACCTTTGAACGAGCCATGAAGCTGGAGCAAGAATTTACAGAACATTTTACAGGTTGGAGCTGCCTCTGTTCCACGTTTGGTGCTCATTTCTTTTTGCTGTCGAGGGCTGTCCTAGAATGTCCCGGGAGCAGCCGGAACCTTCCCTCTCTTAGACTATGGCAGGAATCAGTGGCTTATGTGGGCCCGGTGCCAGCCTCTGCGGTGCCTGGCCTTTAGAGTCTGCACCAGGTGGTTCTCCTCTGGTTCCGGTTGCCTTCCAGAGTGTGAGAGACGCTCCCGGGCTCAGCTTTGTCCATGGAGGGCCCAGTTAGGCAGGTTGGGGGCTGGCTGCTCCTCAGTTGCAGTGTGTGGTTTTTTACCCGCCATCTTGGGGGGATTCTGCTCAGAAAGTCTCCCCTACAATCATCTGGGGATCTAGAAGGTGAAGGCTCTGAATAGCCCCCCCCCCCACGCACCCCTTTTCTGAGCATCTTTAGGGGAAGCAATTGAGCCACAGGGAATCAAAGGAGACCAAGCCTCACAATAGAGTGGGAGGCACCAGAATTGGGGGTTGGGGGGTTGCAAGAACTCTGTAAAAACGAAGGAAAGAGCAGAATGGGGTCCTCAGGAGCTGTCTTGTTTGCGTCCCTACAGCCATTGTGCAAGGCGACACATTGGAAGAGATTTACAATCATGTCAAGCAAGTCATTGAGGAGCACTCCAGCCCTGTCATTTGGGTGCCAGCCAAGGAGAAGCTCTGAGGGTCCTCTGAGTCCAGGGGTCGGCCCCGCCAGCCTGCCTGCCTGCCTGCCTGCCTGCTTGCCAGCGCTGCCTCCTCGGGGCTCCCGTGGGACGTACAGAGCCCCTCTATGGTCTCAACGTTTCGGAAGCTGCTGGCCGAGGGCTCTTTTCTCAAGAATCAGGGGACTCTTTCCACTCCTGTGGATAGAAATGGAGAATAATGTGGTTATAATTCCTTAATGTTTAAGGGAAAGTATCCTTCAGAGACTCTGAGAAAACAAAGCTTTTTATGCAGCCTTTTAACAATTTTATAATAAGATGAAAGAAAAGTGGTCTTAATGTAAATTGTGAGCAGTTTTGCACGTTTGAATTTGCTAGCATGGTTTCCTTTGGGTTCAAATTCTAGTTTCGAAGTTTCTGCCACAAATATATTTTTTCTCTCAGTTTAATAAAAACTTTTTTTCAAAATCAAAGCTTATGTATTCTTAAATGGCATTATTTGAAAAGGAAAAACTAATTTTCATAATCTCATAAGAAAATCTTTATAGCCTTATTATTTTTGTTGTTGCTCTTACAGGGTGAAATGTCCTGTTTTTAAACTAGATCCTACAAAATTACTTGGAATGTCTTACCGATCTTAATGGATAACTGCATTTTCAAATTTTAGGTGTTTAAAAACCTTGAACTTCACTTAAGAATTATGGATTTTGAAAATATTTTAAAGGCAATTATAATAATTATAAGTTCTCAATATCTAAAAATATAAATACATTCTTAGCCAGATTTTAATGACTATTTTACTCATAACAATTGCTTATTTTGTTATAATGAAACTATATATATATATATACACACATATATGCATATATATTAAACTTTCCTTAATTAAAATCTAAGCGTGAGAACTGTTTTCTTAAAAACTCCACAAAATACATAATTTTCACACCTAATTTTGAGAACAGAAAAGATTGATTATAAGCAAGTTAATTTTTGCTGCTTTGTTTTTGACATGTTCCTGTCCCCTGTGGGCTTCTGAACCCCAAAGCATGCACCCCCCTGTTCCCCCCCCCCCCCGGGAAACGACGGAAACAGACTCCAGTTGTTTCCATTCAGAGTTCAAATACTTCTGAAGCCAAGTTGGTGCAGCTTCCCATGGGGGGCTGCCGCCCCTGTGCTTCTGTGTCCAGCTCAAGGTGTTGGGGATCACCTGTGAAGACCTGCATGGCGATCTGAGAAACTGGCTCGGTCCGATGGATTGGTCTTTGTTTATTGATGTAATGTTTCATTTTGCATTTTATTCAGGGTCTGTAAGCCGCCTAGAGCAATCTTTGGCACCCTGGGCAGGATAGGAATTTGATAGATAAATAAAACTATAAACAGCCCTTATCAGTTCTTCAGAAAAAGAGCTAGGTACTGAACAGCTTGTAGACTTGCAGAGTCCTCACACTATTGCGTTGCATGACAGAGAAAAGGTTAAGAATTGGGTTTTCAGGCAGAACTCTGGAATAAAAATGGAACTTGCCAGCAGCAGCTGGTAATGTTTTTCCTGGTATAAAAGAGGTTGCTGTGGGTAGTTTCATGTCAGATGCCTGTTTCTAATTTGCCATCACTGCCTCTGCTGATAAAGCTACCAGGAGAGGTAGCCTGGTGGTGTTTTCTTCATCCAATGTGGATTTTATTCCTTGGAAGATAGTGGTGGTGGTTTCCCGCGTTTTGTATAGTTGGCCTTTTTTTAATATGACAAAGGTGTTATCTGCTTACCAGATCCATACTTTGAGTTATCTGGTGGGGGGGTGCTATGGATTCCAGGTGCTGTATGATAGCTTGTGTTACAAGTCTTGAAAGCGCGATCCCAAAGGTGTTCCTTTTATTTTCCTGTGGTATATTGATCCATCAAACTGAAAGTAGGTGGGCAGGCAAAGGTTACTAAGGTCCGTGATTCTGGGTATTTCAATATGTCCAATATGCTTGGATATAATAGTCATGGATTCTTTTGCTGATTCTGTTCGGTGGATGTAAAGTCTTATACTTAGGCAAGAAAAACCAAAAGGACACATATAGACTGGGAGAAACCAGGCTCAATAGCAGGAACTGTGAGGGGGATCTTGCAATCTGAGTGGACAATCAGCTAAATAGGAGCCAGCAGTGTGCAGCAGCAGCCAAAAAAGCCAATGCAATCCTAAATTGCATTAGCAGTGGGATACAATCAAGATCAAAGGAAGTACTAATACCACTCTGTAAAGCCTTAGTAAGACCACACCTCGAGTACTGCACCCAGTTTTGGTCACCACGCTGTAAAAAAGATGTTGAGACTCTAGAAAGAGTGTAGAGAACAGCAACCAGGGTGATTAGGGGACTGGAGGCTAAACATGATGAAAGGTTACAGGAACTGGGCCTGGCTAGTCTAGGGAAGAGAAGGACCAGAGGAGACAGAATAGCAGTCTTCCAATATTTGAGGGGCTGCCACAGAGAGGAGGAAGGAGTCAAGCTGTTTTCCAAGGCACCTGAAGGCCAGACCCAGGAATAATGGATGGAAACTGATAAGAGTTTCAACATAGAAATAAGGAGAATTTTTTTGACAGTGAGAACAATCAACCCATGGAACAGAAATTGCCTTCAGAAGTTGTGGGAGCTTCATCACTGGAGATTTTTAAGAAGAGACTGGTCTGCCATCTGTCAGAAATGGTATAGGATCTCCTGTTGTGGGGGGGTGTTGGACGATGACCTACAAGGTCCCTTCCAACTATGTTAATCTGTTAGCTGTAAGTGATCACGGCAGTTGACTTTCTTGTAGCTCCTGTGTGTCCTTTTGCAACAGGGAAGGCAATATTTTTGAACCAGTGGCTCAGTGGGAGCCTTGCAAGATCATCATTACTACTGTTACAAAATAGTATGTGACAAGATTTCTACAGCCTGAAAAATTAGACTTTCTGAACCTCCCATTACTATCTGGCCACAGCATTATAATGTTCAGGAGAAACTATTCTGAAGATGCCCAGCCACCCAGGACTGGATTCCCTTGACTGATTGTTTTTGGATTTTTTTAAGTGAAGACAAACCATGTGAAGTGCCCTCTCTGCCCTGGGAAACCCCCTGCAGCACCCAAAGCCACCCTCCGAGGGTCTAATGAAACAGGCCAATGAATCCAAAATTGGAAAAGGAAAAAAATAGCATCTGGAAGGGTAGAGAAGAAATAATTCCATTTGGTTGCCTCTGCTAATGGATTAAAATGCCGCATCTTACCCTGTCAACAAATTAAAAGGGGAACCAACTTTACCAACAAAATGGTGTAAAAATTTATACTACCACAGCAAAGGTTTTTTTCTCCATCAACTACAGGTGAAACTCAAAAAATTAGAATATCGTGCAAAAGTCAATTTATTTCAGTAATGCAACTTAAAAGGTGAAACTAATATATGAGATAGACCCATTACATGCAAAGAAGATAGTTCAAGCCATGATGTGTCATAATTGTGATGATTATGGCTTACAGCTCATGAAAACCCCAAATCCACAATCTCAGAAAATTAGAATATTACATGCAATCAATAAAACAAGGATTGTACATAGAACAATATCGGAACTCTGAAAAGTATAAGCATGCATATGTACTCAGTACTTGGTTTGGGCCCCTTTTGCAGCAATTACTGCCTCAATGCGGCTTGGCATGGAAGCTATCAGCCTATGGCACTGCTGAGGTGTTATGGAAGACCAGGATGCTTCAATAGCGGCCTTCAGCTCTTCTGCATTGTTCGGTCTCATGTCTCTCATCTTTCTCTTGGCAATGCCCCAAAGATTCTCTATGGGGTTCAGGTCAGGCGAGTTTGCTGGCCAATCAAGCACAGTAATCCCACGGTCATTGAACCAGGTTTTGGTGCTTTTGGCAGTGTGGGCAGGTGCCAAGTCCTGCGGGAAAATGAAGTCAGCGTCCCCATAAAGCTCGTCTGAGGAAGGAAGCATGAAGTGCTCCAAAATCTCCTGGCAGACGGCTGCATTGACCCCGGACTCAATGAAGCACAGTGAACCAACACCAACAGATGACATGGCTCCCCAAATCAACACAGACTGTGGAAACTTCACACTGGACTTCAAGCATCTTGCAGTATGTGCCTCTCCATTCTTCCTCCAGACTCTGGGTCCTTGGTTTCCAAATGAGATGCAAAAGTTGCTCTCATCAGGAAAGAGGACTTTGGACCACTGAGCAACAGACCAGTTCTGTTTTTCTTTAGCCCAGGTAAGACGCTTCTGATGTTGTTCAGGAATGGCTTGACAAGAGGAATACGACATTTGAAGCCCATGTACAGGATCCATCTGTGTGTGGTGGCTCTTGATGCACTGACTCCAGCCTCAGTCCATTCCTTGTGAAAGTCCCCAACACTTTTGAATGGGCTTTTCCTGACAATCCTCTCATGGCTGCCGTCATTCCTGCTGCTTGTGCACCTTTTTCTTCCACACTTTTCCCTTCCACATAACTTTCTACTAATGTGCTTTGATACAGCACTTTGGGAACATCCAACTTCTTTTGCAATTACCTTTTGAGGCTTTCCCTCCTTATGGAGGGTATCAGTGATGGTTTTCTGCACAACTGTCAGGTCAGCAGTCTTTCCCATGATTGTGATTCCTACTGAACCAGACTGAGAGACCATTTAAAGGCCAAGGAACCCTTTGCAGGTGTTATGGCTTAATTAGCTGATTAGAGTGGAACACTTTGAGCCTAGAATATTGAACCTTTTCACAATATTCTTATTTTCTGAGATTGTGGATTTGGGGTTTTCATGAGCTGTAAGCCATAATCATCTCAATTATGACACATCATGGCTTGAATTATCTTCTTTGCATGTAATGGGTCTATCTCATATATTAGGTTCACCTTTTAAGTTGCATTACTGAAATAAATGGACTTTTGCACAATATTCTAATTTTTTGAGTTTCACCTGTAAATGTCAGGTTGTAAATCAGGTATGAACACTGCTAATTTATCAGATTCAGATCATTACATATTTCCCTAGAAATCTTTAATTAAAAGAACATTACTTTGCAAGCGTTGTTTTAATATGAAAGCCAACAATTTACCAAACTACATTTTCCCCAATAGTTCCCCGTACCATTGGTTTAGCATTATTCAATAGTTACTTAATATCAAATGCATAAAATATGAATACCCCCCCCCTTTTTTTAGCAGACATAAAATCATTGAAAAGTTTTGGTAACATTTGTCTTGTATAATTATTCAAAATATTAATACAATTTGTCCAATTTACCTAGCTCATAAACTCTGCTTTAAGAAATAAGGTTGTGCTACTTGCCATGAGTGAGGACTCGAGTTGCCATCAAGCTGTTATCAAGTGGAGGAGGATCCAAGCCTGATTAAAGGCCCAGGGAGCTGCCTGCCCAGCCCAGCCGAGCGCCTGGCTCAGGGCTGCCTACAACAGGGCCCGAGGGGGCCAAATGGCTGGGGACAATCGCAGGGTGAGGTATGTCCTGGTCCATGGTCTACACCTCACTTAGCAAGGGACTCCTGAGCAGCGTACAACCTTAAAACAGTCAATACCTAAAACAGTCATTATTCAAAAACATTAAAAGTATTAAAAACAAAGCTAAGGCAGAGAAGTAGTGAGTGAAGAGATGCTGGTCATAACGGAGCCCACCTCATGAACTCCCCAGTCCCCCCGAGGTGCCCAGGTTTGATGGCACAAGCCACTCTTGAGGGACCTTTGGAAGGCCAGTCGGGATGGAACCAGCTTCAGCTTGGCTGGCAGGAGGGTGTCCCACAAGGGAGGCACCACAGCAGGGATGGCCCCCACCAAGAGCCTGCCAGGTGTTACCCGGCACCCACAGCTCCTCCTGCCCTCTGGTGGGATGGGCGGATGCGCAGGGAGCGGCGCTGCCTCAGATAACCAGCTCCCTGCTAGGTGGGGCTTTGAATTGGGCCCAAAAATGGACTGGCAGCCAGGGCAGCTCAGGAAGCAGAGGGGCAACGGGCTCTGTCCGAAACGGACATTGCTGCTTATCTGTTGCTGCGTTTTATACCAGCTGAAAATTTTGAACAGTTGTCAAGGGCAACCCCACTCCTGTTGCTAAGCAAGACATCTGTTAAGTGAACTTTACAGCTTTTCTTGCCCCAGTTGTTAAGTGAATCACTGCAGTGAGTAACATGGTTGTTAAGTGAATCTGGCTTCCCCATTGACTCTTCCTGTCAGAAAGTCGCCCAAGGGGATCCCCTGATCCAGGGATCCTGTGACTGCCATGCACGAGTCACTTGGCAAGCGCCTGAATTTTGATCACATGACCACAGTCATAAGTGTGAAGAATGGTCATAACTCCAGTGCTGTAACTTTGAACGGTCACTAAATGAACGGTTGTATGTCAAGGACTACCCGTATCTTGTGTTGTTGGCTTTGTTCCCGTTATAGTTCCTTTTTCATTTTGGGGGGAGTTGATTCATTGGTTCTTAATGTTAACTGCCCAAGTAGTGAGAACAACCCAGGTGGTGGCCAAATACAGTCATTTATTTCCTAAAAACAGAGGCCTGGACCTGAAGCCAGCTGCCGCCTAACGCTTGCTCAGGTGATGCTGCCCAGAGGACGGCCTGACCTCCGCTTCCGTCCCGTTTCCCCCGCCCCCACCCCCCCACCCCGAGAACTGGTTCCTCTCCCTTGGTTCCCACCCCCCCTTGTGAAAACCAAGCGGGCTTGTGCCTTCTTCCCTGGCTTGCTGCTTCGGTCCTCCTGTGTGAGAGCTGTGATTCCCTCCAGCCAGGAGGTGGTACTGCCGGGCAGGCCAAACTTCTCCTTTCCTGGCTGGAGGACACGTTTATTTGGACCTTGGCAGGTATTACCTTCTCCAGGCAGCTCCTCGCTCCCCACCCCAAGGGCCCAGCCTGTGACCGAAGGGGGAGGGACCAGGAGGAGAAGCAGGGCTGCGGGAGGGGCCAGGTCCCCCTCCCTTTGCTGGCAGGGCTGGAGAGAGAGAGAGAGAGGAGACACGGGGCTTCCACCATGAGGCAACCAGCTTTCGCCCTTCTGCTGTGCTTCCCCACAGGTAGGGGGATGTTTTCCTTGGTCACAGTGGACTCAGGAGGTGCTTCTGCTTCAACCTCTAGAGGAATCTCATCTGTCTAACTTTCATCATGTGCAGAAAGGTTCCCTGCTTGCAATAGCACTAATGACTCTTATATGTATCGGTGGGATTTATTTATTTATTTATTTAACTTTATTTGTTTGTCAAACTTGTACAAGATAACAAGTGTAGGTATGAACATAAACAAGAACAAAGGAAGTAAATACAGATAAATGGGGACAGTAAGACAGGGATGATAGGCACACTGGTATGCTTATGCACGGCCCCTTTAAGGACCTCTTAGGAAGGGGGTGAGGTCCACGGTAGACAGTCTGAGGTTGAAGCTGTTTTTGTGGGCTCTTGCACTGTTATTGACTGCTAACCATTATTATAATTTGAAGAAGAGAGGGGAAATATTTGTAAAATTATATTCTGACAGGTTCAGGCCTACAAACTTCTTTGCTTTGCTTTCTGGACAATACACAAATGCAGATCAAGACAATGTTGCGGGCTTGTTTAATAAGAACAGCTTTGCTGCCTCTTGTTGCCTTCCGGATCATTGTGAGCACTCGTGGGAAACTCTCTTCTCCCACCACCAGGGCTGCTCTGAAAATGAACTGGACTTGCTCCTTACAGCGTGGCTGAAACTACATAAAGATGGGAGGAGAGGGAGGCAACAGCCTGTCCAAAGAGCAAAAGCTCTGGCAAAGGTGTGGATTGCAATCGGTGCCTTTTCTTGGGCACCATGACCAGAATGACAGGCCTGCAGAGAAGGTCGGGTCTCATACACACACACACACACACACACACACACTGCTCTGGCAGCCAAAGCTACTGGCACTGGCACTGGAATCTGCCTTTGGTGGGAAAATAGGCCACTCAGAGTAAAGGAGCTGGCAAGGGTTTGCCTGCTTTTGTCTTCTTAGTCTGGTCGCTAATTGTAGCCAAGGGGTTTCTTGTTTACTGCGATGGTTAGCACCACAAATGTCGCTCTCCCTTCTTCCTCTGCTCAGACAGGTCTTCCAGCGATTATGGGAGCCAGAAAAGTTTTAACTGAATCTCAGATAACTAAACCAAAACAACTTGCCTAGTCTGAGCTCATTAATAGGAGGCTTATGTTTCTGCTGCCTTCCCGGACTGAGTTTGGCCACTCAGAGACAGTTTTGATCCGGGCAGTGCCCAAATCAGAATAAAATCAATAAATAGAAGAAGTCAGCTAATGGGAAAGGCTAACATGTGATCTAGAGGCATGATTATGATGCCTTTCAGTAGGTATTTTCAGCACAGATGTGTTACCTATAGTGACTATTTAGTTACCTCCGGATAAGTTATTTTTCAATTCATGTATCCACTGTATATGGCCAGCCATCTCAACAAGTGATTCAGAGCAAACAAAATCGCAGGGTTATGAAAGCCATTATACACACTACAAAAGTTAAACTGCACAGTGGCTGAGCAGCACCAGCATAACTAAGAAGAGGATCCTTGTGTAACCCTGGGGCCCCAAGTCCAGGCCAAAATCAGGTCTGCAGGGCCCTGGGGAAGACCAGCAGGGACAGGCCAGCCTGATCTCCAGAAGCAGAATCTTCTAGAAGTTCCTCGAGGCCCTTCCAATTGCCATTTTGGGGCCACTGGGACCCTTCCTTCCTGACTGGATCGGATGGATAGAAGCAACTGGAGAAAGATGGTCCCACAAATTTGCAAACCCAGTTTACAAACGCACTTGATTCTGGGCTGCCTGCTATTTGCACCAGAGATTCTTAACCGCTCTTTGCACATGTGCGTTTGTCTGCGCACGTGTTCTTTTCAGCTGCCACGTTGAGCCTGCTGCGCTGGTGCACAGTCTCTGACCAAGAGTTGGCCAAGTGTAGTGACATGAGCAAGGCCTTCTCCAGGGCAAACCTCTTCCCTGAAATGGCCTGCGTCAATGGTGGCTCCGTAATCAACTGCACCTCTATGATTACTGTAAGTATGAAATATTTGCTTCCAGATCTGCAAGGGGAAGGGAGGACAGTACGAATTGGTGGACACAGAGGAGGCTACAGCCTAAAAAGTGCTTCTTGTTCTGGTGGACATTTATTTATTTATTTGAACAAATCAGCCACACAACTCCAATGTGAGACCGTGGATGCTAGACGTAGTCCATTTGTCCATTTCCCAGGCTTTGGTTTTTTAATTTAGAATTAGCTCATTGTAACTGTGCTGCAACCTTATACTAAACTAGGCTATATGCAAATTAATTAAGCTGAAATCAATTCATCTGACCCAACTAAAAATAAACAAATAGCATTGCATTTCAAACTATATTAAGTGCTACCCAAGCTTCCCTATCTGCTTTTTTGAGATTGCAAAGGAAGAGTCCCATCAAAAATGATAGGGCAAGCCACTTGCATATAAACAGAGACCAAACTACACTCCCTTCTAGCACTGATGATGTTACCTCGTTAGGTAATGAAATGTCTGCAAGAAAATAACCAGGCTCAGAAAGCACCAAGTATCCCACAAAAACATATTACTTGCATCTGTTGCAAACCAAAATAAGGAGGCCATAACGGGAGGTTTGTGTACCGCATGCCAGTTTCCAAGATGGTGCAGAGAAATTTTACAGGAAGTGCATGATGGGTTAGTGCCTTAAACCAAGGAGTTACACAGAGGAGCAGCTCCTGCGAGTAGAGGAGAGAAATCCATTGCTTATGGAAGGGGTGCAGCAGGACTCTTCTGGGCTCTTCTCCGACCTCGAGGGAGGGTCTTGGCAGTGTTCTAACCTTTACATTGAGCAGAGCAGAGCTTTTGGGAAATGGTCTGGCCATGCCACCTGTGGCCGCTCTACTCTCTCCGTGTCCTGAGAAATGCTTCTTGGGGCAGTTGCCAGGTGACCTCCATTCTTACCAGGAAGTTCTCTTTTTACACGCAGAGGAATTTGGCTGACGCAGCCACCGTGGACGGGGGCATCCTTTACCAGGCTGGGAAGGAACACGGTCTGAAACCAGTCGTGGCTGAGGCCTATGGTCAAGGTAAATGGGCGAGGGGAAGCAGCCGCCCGTTTCCAGGCAAGACTTAATAGCTGACTATTAAATAGCTGTCATAAAGCATCTCCATTGAACCAAAGAAGGGGCCACAACAAGACCCAAGTTCTGCCTCTCATGGGTTTCATAGAATTGCCGATGATCCTATTTTGCACTTGAGGAACCGGCGGTGAAAGGAAAAACGCTTTTCCAGATCAGCCCAGGAGAGGAAGCTAGGGTTGCCTGTGTTGAGGGCAAGACGCTCAACCAGGAGCGCAGTGTGCAAAGCGCTGATAAACACGTGTCTGTTTTCATTGTCTGCAAAGTACTTAACAAATGCCTTCTTGGTCTCTTGTTCGCCTTTGAAGTTCTCTTTTGATTGAGTAATGAAATGTGATGTAGTTGTTTGGATTTTAGAGCAATTGGACTCATTGTGGCATCACAATGCTCTTCTACAAATTTCTTTCTTTTTTCCCTTCTTCCTCCTCCTCCTCATCTTCCTCTTTTTATTTTTCTTTCTTTCTTTCTTTCTTTCTTTCTTTCTTTCTTTCTTTCTTTCTTTCTTTCCTCCCTCCCTCCCTCCTCCTCCTCCTTAAAAAAAAGGATACTTCTTTCTACTGTATCTGATAGAAGTATATTATTTCCGAGACCAAGGAGGACCAAGTGGTTTCTGCTATGAGCAGAATGCTATCACTGCGCTTTGGGGTTTGCCTTCACTTGGCATCCTCCTTGTGAATGCAGAAGAGAGAAGCCAGACTAAGTGGCCTCCCCTTGGCCTCTCTAGATGTTGGTACTTCCTACTACGCAGTGGCTGTGGTGAAGGCCAGTTCCAACCTGACCATCAACCAGCTGAGAGGGGCCAAGACTTGTCATACAGGGATCAACAGAACAGCTGGCTGGAACATCCCGGTGGGCCTCCTCCTTGATAGTGGCCGAATGCCCATGATGGGTTGCAGTGTCACCAAAGGTAAGGCCTGCTGGGTCCCCCAAATGGCTTGTGGTCCTTTTCCCTGGGGCAGGCAGGATGGAGGAGGATGTTGCAGCTGGAGAGGCAGACCCCCTCCTCCTCCTTCCCTTTCAGCCGTCAGTGACTATTTCAAGGCCAGCTGTGTCCCTGGAGCAACTGCCGTTGGGGACCCTGCATCCCTCTGCGAACTCTGCAAAGGAGACTCTGCCGGGCAGAGCAAGTGTGAGCTGAGCCCCAAGGAGGAATATTATGACTACCTGGGTGCCTTCAGGTAACTGGGTGGGGGGGTTTCCTTGGAAAAGCCACAGTGAGATCAGTAGCCCGGGGAAGGGGGGATGTCATACTGCTGCCACAGAGTCCTGCCGCAGGCCAAGAGGCCCCTTGGGGGTCCTCTGAGTGGGACTTGCAGAGGGTCTGTGGTCAACGCTTGCTGGTGCTCCCCACAGGTGCCTGGCGGATGGGTCAGGAGAGGTTGCCTTTGTCAAGCACACCACAGTGATCGAAGCCAAGGATGGTGAGATGTTCTGCATGGGCAGGAATTCCCTGATCTGAGTTGGGCTGCCCTCTTGTCCTGCTCTTCTTCCCCCCTCACTTTTGGTCCAGAAAAGACCAAATTGAGTGGCTCTGTTTTTCTTTGTTAACTGTTAGCATTTGCAGTATCTGCCTGGATACTTCATGGCTTCAGCAGCCCCTCCAAAATGCCCAGCCTGGCACTTGGCTCTGGGTTCCACAGGGGGAGGGGGGAGGCAAGGCCAATCCTTCATCCTTTGGTCCTGGGGATGCTCTCCTTTCAGGCCAAGCTCAGCCTTCCTGGACCTTGGAGGACTTCCAGCTGCTCTGCCGGGACGGGAGCCAGGCAGCAGTCAGCGCGTGGCGGACCTGTCACCTGGCACGGGTCCCCGCTCATGCCGTGATCACCCGGCAGGATGTGGAAGGCAGCCTCATCTTTGACATGCTAGATCAAGGACAGGTGAGAGTCTTCCCAGGCTCTGTAGATTCACACCTTGTCTTCTTTGCATGTTGCGCTTGCGAGCCCACTAGAGTTGAGTGACTGAAGTGACAGGCGTGTGCATTTCACGTTATTTTCCTACTGAGCTCCTGTCTCCTCAAAGCCAATTCAGCAGGTGATGGTCTCTGCAGTGAAGTGGTTCCTCTGCCACAGCTGTTCCTTTCACAGCTACCTAGCGGCCAGAAATCCACGGGCTGAGCAGGGGCCTCATGTCAGTGAAGTTGCAGTTGAGGGCTGGCAGAAGGGCGATGCTGCCAAATGGGCAGGACCCATTAATGGCACCACACAGGGCCATGGTCAGGGAGGCTTCCAGGGGAGGGGGGAATTTAAAGGAGAGTGGCCTTCTTTGCCTTTTTCAGTCTACTCAGATCACACTGTTGTGACCTTGAAGGAAAACTCCCAGGGCCCTTTGGAGGGTTTGCCCTCTCCCAGCAAGTGCTCCATGAGGGCGACCTCTCGGATTCAGGGCTCCTGCTGGAGCACCAGAGGGAGGCCATGGCCACCAGTGCTTTTGGTCAGCAGTGCTCTTACTCCTGCCCTGGCTGTCCTCTGGTTAAGTCTTCTGCGTGCGCTCCAGGTAGCCTGTCCCTAGAGGTGGCCCTGGAACTCCTGCTGGCCGTGGCACAGAAGGCAACGGCCTGGCTGCTCCTTGGTGGAAACCTCTTTAGCAGAGCCCGGCCTCTGCTGTGGGCCTGTCCTTGCTGCCAGTAGAGCACAACTGAGGGTCCTGGTGACTGCAAAGCCCTCTACGGCTTGGCTCCTGGTTCCCTTTTGGTCTGCTCACCACGGGCTAGCCAGGAGTGGAGGGTTCCTGCCCTGGGAGACGCAGAGCGTGGCCTCCCCGTAGAACAGATTGCTCTCCACTGGCTATTAATGATTTAGAAAGGTGGTAAACATTGGTGCTCAAGTAGACAGGCAGAGATTTAGGGATATCCTGATTTACAGTTGTTTAATGAGTTGTTGTTCTTATGAATAATGTTAAGCCATGCAAATTCATTTTCAAACGCTTGGAAATAAATAATAAATAACATGTCATGAAACATTCTGCTGCTAGAAATTCAACAATGCAATCGGGTGGGAGCTTGGAGGCTATAAGATGCCCGTCCTTTTAAAGTGATATAGGTCCCTCTGTGAGGGAGATGGGCAGTTTCTAAATGTGATAAACAAATAAAAAGTAAAAAATAAAGGACCTTCTATTAGACATTTCTGTGCTGGATTCTTATCCCACCTTTCCTCCAAGAGCTCAAGGGGGCTTCCATGGGAATTTTCCTCTATATCCCAACACAGACCAGCGTATCTGGTCCAAAGTTACCCAGGGAGTTTCAGGCTGAGTGTGGCCTGGACCCGGATCGCGATGGTCCCAGTCCAGCAGCTGCATCACTGAGGCCTCCCGGCTTTTCCTCCCGTTCTTTGGCTTACTCAGCCCCCAGAGGGAGAGAGGGGCGCCTCGCCCCTGTTTTAGTTCTTCAGCCGAGCGGTGAGGAAGGAGCCGCAAAGGGCAGCTGCTAGAACTGGCCACCGCAGGCAAAGCCTTTGCGTTTCAGCTGAGGTTCAATCAGGCCCTTTTCAACTTATCTGAGAATGGCAGCGCTGAAGCCCATGGTGGAATTCAGAGGTTTTCCCAAGGCAGATGGGCTTTTCTCTCCATGTTACAGCAAAGGTATAATGGTGGAAACTCCAGCTTCCAGATGTTTCACTCAACAGCCTATGGAGGGAAAAATCTTCTCTTTAAAGACTCTACTGCAAAGCTGATTCCCATTATGGAACAGACCTACCAGGCCTGGTTGGGAGATGAATATCTGCATGCCATGCGAGGCTTGGATTGCGATCCTAAAAGTATGTCTTGCAAGTTGTCTTTATAACAAAATATGTCTTCTTGGTTTTGCTGCCCTGAGGAGAGAACTGAGATGGAAGAGGCAATGAGGGTTGGCAGTTTGGGGTAACAGAAAATACGACTGCTGTACAGAATACAGAATAACAAAGTTGGAAAGGACCTTGGAGGTCTTCTAGTCCAACCCCTTGCTCAAGCAGGAGGCCTATACCGTTTCAGACAAATGGCTGTCCAGTCCCTTCTTGAAAACCTCCACTTCTGGAGGGAAGCCATAGAGGTCCCGAAAGGGAGATTTGTAAGAGAATATTCTAAGGTCTTTTCTAGGGAGTTTTCCATAATAGTCTCCGAGTTCCCTTTCCTGGATGCCCTGAGGCTGTTTTGACATCGTCAGCATCCTTGGGGATTTCGGATCTTTCTAAGTATCTCCCTGCTTGCCAGGGAAAGAAGAAATGGCCTGGCTTTCTTGGTTACTATGGGATCCTGGGGACTGACCTATAGGGCCTTAAGCTGTTGAAGTGTTTAATTCGTATTGTTTGTACAACTGGGGTTGTTTTGTTTTGTTTTTGGTCCTGCTTATGAATTAATTGGAAGCTGTCACAAATGTGAGATGGGTAGCTATATCTATTGAATAAATAAAATGCTAGGCCAGACTTGTCCAGGGATAGAACTCAGGGTTTCTCTCCATTGGCTTGGAAAACTGATGCAACCAGTTGTTTCTGCCTTGAAAGAAGCCCTCGTGGGGCTCCGGTGAGCTCTCCCTCTTCTGACATAGGGTTGCCAGAATTCCTACGCTGGTGCGTCTTGTCCACCGAGGAAATCTGGAAATGCAGCAAGATGGCCACCGCCTTTAAGAGCCAGAATCTGAAGCCAGAAATCCAGTGTGTTTCAGCCCAGAGTCCAGAGCAATGCATGGAACGCATTCAGGTGAGAGTTATTTTATTTATTGACCAAATTTATTGGCCACCCACCTTACCACACAGTAACTCTGGGGGGCTTACAATAATAAAAGTGTATAAATAGAACGCTGCAAAACCATAAAAATCCAAAATACGGTAGCTAAAAGATGGGATGGGAGGGAGGGAGTAGGATAAACGGGGGAGGGGGGTAGAAAGTGGGATCTGATATTATTCTATAAGCCACCTCCAACGTGAAGGCCCCCGTCCCCACTGCACCTCCAAGCCAACTGGCAGAGCAGAAAGTCTTTAGGCTCTTGCGGAAGGTGAGGGGGGGGGGATTGGGACCAGTTTCATGGGGGGGGGGAGGTTCCAGAGGGCAGTGTAACAGAGTGGAGGGTGGTGCAAGGACATCTGGGGGCCTGTGTGTGGGTGTGTGCGCACATGGGCTCACACTGAGCCTTGGGGGATGTGCCTTCTCAGTGCAAGAATGGGGCACTCAGCCATCCAAAAAGAAATGTGAGCCACTTCCATGAGAGGAAGTCCTGGGATTCAAAGGCATGTAGCCCTGGCCTTGAGAAGGGCTCAAAATAAATGAGTTTTTAGTGGGGGGGCTTTCAGAAAAGAGTGTTGTCCCGAGAAGGAGGGAAGCATGAGAAAGAAACGCAACCACCCCATCTTGATCTGGCTAGGGTTAAAAGGGACAAGCCAAACGTTCAAAAGGGTTATTCTTCCCCGCATCGGTAAACAGCCATTCTGAAAATATTATTACCCTGCCTTGATCTGACCTCCCTCCAAAGACCGGCATGGGGAGGATGGCTGTGGGGAGTGAAATTGTCAGGAAAGGATCAACGTTCGCTGCTGGGAGGGCTCTTTGCCATCTTCCACTCCCAAGAAAGCTTAATAATCCCTTCGGAGGGTGAGGCTGGCTGGGGAACTGGAGAAACTTGGCTGGGTAGGCCCTTCCCCTGGGCTTCCCTGGGCTTCTTTTCCTTGGGGCCAGAGAGGCTGCCAGCCCAGTCTCCTGCCTCCCCACTGGGAGGCTCAGTCTAGTCCCTTGGCACCTGCAGTGGCACGTGGGAGTGACCCTGGGAGGCAGGAGGAAGCCCCCAGGCCAGAGAACCGTCAGGACTCACAATTCATGCTTCTCGTCTAGACTACTTGGTGGGGCTAACAGCCAGCAACTTCTTTTCTGGCCCTCACTGGCAGGCAGGCCACAGTGGCTGGATTGAATAGGCTGCCTGGGGAGAGAAGGGGCCCTCAGGAGGCAGCCAAGCCTTGAAGGGGAGCTTTCAACCCCTTTTGACTCCCTTTCAGAAAAGGGACATTGATGCTGTGGTTCTGTCTGGAAAGGATGTTTACGTAGCCGGGAAGGCGTATGGCCTGGTGCCTGCTGCTGCAGAACACTATGCAGGTAAGAACACACTGGAGCTTTGTAACCTGGCCATTCTGTGGCTCTTTGTAGACTCAGCGCCCGCAAGGAAGTGGAAACCTTGCAGAAAGTCTTGGACAGAAGTGATTCTCTTAGGACCTTTCAGGCGCCTCCCAGGGAAGGCCCCATCAAGCAGACGCTGCCTGCCTCTTGCTTCCTTCCCTCCCACCGTCTTTCTTAGAGACCTTCCGGCGTTCTCTGGCTGAGGTCAGCTCCATTAATACTGTGTCCCCGTGTGCTGCCCCTTTGATCTCACAAAAGAAAAACGGCAGAAGGGAGATGGCTCACCGGCACGCTGTCATGCCAGTTCTTTTGCATGCTTCTTCTCCTCTTTCTTTTTTCTCTGTAATTAACCTGCTTTAACAAATCTCAGGAAAGGTGCAATTAACAAAAATTATTGGAATAAAGCAAATAATTTAGGCTTAATATTGAAAAATCATTTTGATTTGAGGGTAATTTTCCTTTCCAGTAGATGTAAGCAGATGAACAATTTGATTTTCACTTGGTATCCAAAGAGAGAAGCCATCTATAACTGGCTGTCCATCGCTGCTAGAGGAGATGCGCAAAGAATCCGTGGCCTCCAGCATAGACGTTCTGGACCAGTTAGACATTTGAGTACATGAGCAGGTGCATATTGAGTACAATATGCACCTGAGGTTACCGAGAACTTATAGATGACTTAACTACCCCCTTTCATTTGGTTGGCCTTTGAACGTTCAAAGGTTATGGATAATGACATGCGGATGTTACTCAAGTAGGGGACTGTAAGCTTAAGATACACATTTCGCCTTAATACTCCTACAAGTTCACAAAGGACCTAAGTTCCAGCTATTTCATTTTCAAGGCCACCTGTGGTTACTGTCCTGCTGGTTTAAAACCCATAAAATGCTTTCTAATTTATGTCCCCCAAAGCAGCTCTTACTTGCTGCAACTTATTCCAAGTAAGTCCTGAAATAGGGAAATACCAGCGCATTGGTCAGTGTGCATATGTGCATGTGCATGTTGTTCCGTGCAGCAGGATGTAACAGCTCATGTCAGTTCACTGGAGCTACGTAAGCATTTACTGAGAAAGATGAACTTGAACAACTCCAAAGGAAGGTATCTGCTGGCTGATCCAGGGGAAGCCCAGACCTCAACAGCACAAAAACTGAGCGCAGTTCCATCAGGGCAGCACAGCCCTTGTCTGGATGAGGGTCAGCTTAACAGCCTTCAGCTGGAATCGCAGCTGAACAACTGAGTTGGAAGGGACCTTGACCGGGTTCTAGTGCCCAGGGTAGGAATCCTCCTCAGGACATTCCAGACACACTCAACTTTGGCTGGAAAACCCTGTCTCCTGACACCAGAGGCTGTTCTGTGGCTTAGTAGCACTCGTCTCTATTTTGTGTTTCCATCTCTCTCTGACAGCTCCTGCTGGTTTCTTCTCAAAAGCTGCCGAGGATAAATCCTCCCTCTCTTCCCTGTGATAGCCCTTCAAATTGTTGCCTCTGAGGCGAACGTAGCCTAGTTTACTGTACCTCCCAGACCCCACCAAATTTGACCAAGACGACAAGGAGTGGGACAGTTCACCCCTCATCACATTTTCCCCATGCACAGGTGGTGGTGGTGGTACTGTATTATTTTACCGAGCTTGGCATCCTACTCACAGTCACTCATGCCCTAGTCACTTCTCGTCTTGACTACTGCAACATGCTCTACATGGGGCTGCCCTTGAAGAGCATCCAGAAGCTCCAGTTGGTGCAAAATGCAGCAGCCGCATGGTTTTGTGTAGACCCTGGTGTGCACATGTATCACCTCTCCTGCATTGGCTGCCAATTTGCCTGCGGTGTAATTCAAGGTGTGCTGGTTGTCACCTTTAAAGCCCTTCATGGCTTGGGACCAGGTGATCTGAGGGATTGTCTCTTGCTGGTTACATCTAACTGACCCATCAGAGCAGGGAGGCAGGGAATGTTGCAGGTCCCGTCCCCTAGGGAGATACACCTGGTGGGACCCAGAAGAAGGGCCTTCTCGATGGTGGCTCCCTCTCTCTGGAACATCATCCCCCCCCCCCCCGAGATTAGAATGGCCCCCACTCTAGCGCTCTTCTGGAAGGCACTGAAGACCTGGTTCTGCCAGCGGGCCTGGGGATCCCAGACTGGGATGGGGCCCATTAAACGGCTTGTATGATCTGCTATTGCGGGGGGGTGGGGTGATTTTATTGTATTATTTTATTTGATTTTTTAAAATTAGTTTTATTGTTTTAAATGAGGTTTTATATTCTATAAGCTGCCTTGAGTTGCCATGTACGAATAGGCGGCAATATAAATTCAATAAATAAATACGTCTAGATGCAAAACATACCCAATGAGTGACATTAGGGCACCCCTATGAAGCATTGGAGGCAGAGTTGTAGAACGGGACACCTCAAGGTTTGCTTTACTCTCCCCTTCTCCTCCCTATGTGCAGACGGAGATACCGTGAGCACCTACTATGCGGTGGCAGTGGTGAAGCGAGCAACGTCTGATGTCTTCACCATCCATGATCTACAGCAGAAAAGGTCCTGCCACACCGGCTATGGGCGGATGGCCGGCTGGAACATACCCATCGGCCTGCTGCTGCGAAAGGGCTTCATTCAGCCCCAGGAATGCAACCTTCTCAAAGGTAAAGTATGTGTGTGTGTGTGTGTGTGTGTGCCCGGAGAGTGGTGCCTGTCACTGATAGGGCTCAAGCAAAAGAGCCCAAGAACTGAGACAAACCTGGCAAAATGTTGCCTTTCAGCTTGGGAACAACTGACCGAGGAACAATCCAAACTTAGAGGCAACAGACTTTGTGAACTGATAGTTGTGACGTCCAGGGATAACTTGGCTCTTGTTGCGATTACAGAGAGACGGTTCGGTGATTCCAGTGGTAGGGATATAAGTATAGCAGGTTATATACTATGCAGAAAAGGCAGAGTAGAAAAGGGAGTTGCCATTAACATGAAGAAGGGCATAAAAGAAAGACTAATTCAGAAAACACATGATCTATTTGAAACCATCTTGGAGGCAACTTGTCTCTGTGTCAGACACGTTAGTAAAAGCAAAAGAAAGCAAGCTCCGGTTCATAGCAGACACACGCACGATAGTAAAGGAGAAAAAAATCAGCATATAGCAGCAAGAAGGATAGCAGAAAAGTAGCTGGTAGAGAGGTCCACAAGAACCCACAGAAGGAAGCCAAAGATGTCATTAGTGCTGCTAAGTGCAGAAAGAGGACGGATTGGCTAAATCTATTTAAAAAGGGGGATAAAACCTTTTTTAGGTATATTAGTGTCAGAAGAGAAAAAACTATGATCACCAAAATAAAAAATGAAAATGGTTCTTATGTTAAGGGAGACCTGCCTGTAGCAAACCATCTAAACAAAAACTTCTGCTCAGCCTTCTCAGCAGCAGATCCCAGTAACAAACCCAGGAGGATCCCGGAGGATCCCGCCAGTCCTAGCAGTGCAGGCTCTTTTCCAGGGTTTTTAGAGGTGGAAGGAGCAGGCGAGCTAGCCCGTCTAAAGCTTGACAAAACCAAGGGGTCCGGGGGGACTCATCCCAGAGCTCCGAGGGAACTTCTAGGTGTGCTCACTGGACCATTAATTGATCTGTTGAACCGTATCTTCTAACAGTTGAAGCTCCCCAGGAATGCCGAACAGCTAATATTGTGTTGAAGAACGTGTTTAGGAAAGAAGAGGGCAACTATAGGCCAGTCAGCTTAATATCTGTAGTACGGGGTAGTTCTTCTTACCACTACAATCAAGCCCCAGATTTCCACTGCTAAGCAAGACAGTTTTTAAGTGAGTTTTGCCTCATTTTATGACCTTCCTTGCCAGAGATGTTAAGTTAGTAACCCGGTTGTTAAGGGAATCTGGCTTCCCTTGTCAGAAGGTCGCAAAATTGGGATCTCATGATCCTGGAACACTGCGACCATCATAAAGATGGGTCAATTGCTGGGCATCCAAATTTTAAACACGTGACCATGGGGATGCTCCATCAGTTGTAAGCATGAAAAATGGTCATTATATAGTAGCCATTATAATGGATAATGGATCCCCAGCAGGAAGAAGGAGGTCCAAGTCCCATTAAAAGGGGCTTCAGTCAGACCCCGCTTTGGAACCCAGTGCCCAGTTCTGGAGAACGCGGCTTGAAAGAAGATATTGATAAGACAGAGACGGGCAACAAAAATGGCACAAGGTCTGAGGGACGACACATACCAGGAGAGATGGGAGGAACTGAATACGTACAGCCTGGAGACCAGAAAGGGAAGAGGGGGGCATGATGGAAACATTTAAACATATTAAGGTTGTGAATAAGGTTCCGGAAGGCAGTCTTTTCAATACTGAGCAAAAATCAAGAGCATAGCCTCATACTGATGGGAGGGGAGTTCAAAAGTCACGTTAGGAAGGTTGACTTCAGGAAAAGTCGTGGAAGTTTGAGAACCAACGTCCGGTGGATATTGCGGGTTAGTTGTCAGTAGCTGAGCGGAGTTCCTCCTAGTGTTGCCCTCATGGACTCTCCCTGGCTCTGTTCTTCTTGCTTCAGCGGTGAGTGGCTTCTTCTCCGCCAGCTGCATTCCAACAGCCGAGCAGGAGTGCTACCCGGCCAACCTGTGTGAACTCTGCATTGGTGACAGCCAGGGGAATTTCAGGTGCAACGCCAGCAGCCAGGAGACCTATTATGGCTACACAGGAGCCTTCAGGTAATGAGACAGGTGGCTTCACTTCCAGTTTTAGGAAGGAGCAAGCTCCATGCCTTGCCTTCTCGAATTAAGCCACTCCTTTCTCTCTGACTGAGTGGTATTTCAACATGGCAAGTACCAAAATGGAAAAACGCTGAGTTTTATCTGCATTTGGGTGTCAAAAATATGGAGTAGACGTTGCCTATTTTTAATGCCCCTTATACTTTGGCTACCTTCTCTTCCTGCTTCCCCTCCCCCTCACAACTATCACCAGGTACCATGGCTGGGAGAGGAAAGAGGCAGCTTCACTCTTCCTTGTAATAAAGGGAAGCATCGTTTTGCACAGAGGAGAAGCAGGGTGCACAAGTTGCTCTTGAGGGCCCTGGTTGCTCGGGGGGGGGGGGGGGGCTAGCTTGCACCCCTACGGCAGAGTGGCTAATAGGATTAATGATGTCGTTACAGATGCTTAGCAGAGGGTCATGGTGATGTGGCTTTTGTCAAGCATAGTTCGGTCTTTGAAAACACTGATGGTAGGTGAGCTCTTTCGTCATACGGCTGTGCTGACTGTCATGTCTGAAATGCTTCAGACTCTCTTTCCTTCTTTCAGGGCACAATACTGATACCTGGGCCTCAAAGCTTCGGTCTGGTGATTTCCAGCTCTTGTGCCCAAATGGTGCCCGTGCTGAAGTTGACCAGTTTTCTGGCTGTCATTGGGGCCAAGTGCCTCCTCGTGCCGTTATGGTCCACCCAGACACCAATGCCTTGGTTGTGTATGGACTTCTGGATAAGGCTCAGGTAGGCCTAGCCTGAGAAGTGGGAGGAAGCCTGCTGCCTTTGTTACTCATTGGCATGATGAGGTCATTTGGAACACCACCAGTGGGTTGGGATTATGGGGTTGGAAGACCCCGTTCAAGGGCACTCTGGGGCCAGCCTGGCCCTCTTGCAGATCAGCTTGTCCACCAAGATTACCGTTGTAGGAATAAAAGAAGATCCCTGTAAGCTGTTGCTTTGAGGTCCTGGAGAAATGGCACGATAGAAATGCGCATAGTAGTTCAATGCAATGTAGATAGAAATGCAATGTAGTTCAATTGTTCCAGAAGGCCAGCCACACCACTGAGTAGGCCTGGCTGCTAGTTCCAGGAAGGGCAACCCTGAAGTCTGGAAAGAACTAGTGGATAGACATGCTGCCTTTCCTCCTTACACCTCCAGAGGCTGTTCTTTAGCCAAGATGTTGGGTTTATCGTGGCTGAGTAGCCATCTTGTTAACAGAGATCTTTCCCCGCATATCATAGCAGCAGCAGAGACAAAAACCATGGGGTTTATTTGTATAGCCAGAGCATGTGATGTGGTTACTGCATCTTCTCAGCCCAGTTTAGGGTTTGGTATGCTTGGACGCTTGTGCTCCCCGAGGACTGAAGCTGCCTGGGATCTGCAGCATGGCAAGGCCTCTACTCTGGGCGAGCCTGGCTGCTCCCTTTACTCCAAAGGGCAGGGGGTCCCACAGGGTCTCCAGCAGCTCCTGGCAGAGCATGACCCTGGGCAGGGGGCTTCATAAGGGATCGCAAGTTGTCTGTTAGAAAAACACTTGCTTAACTTTCAGGATTTCTTTGGCGATGACAACAACCCGAATGGATTTAAAATGTTCAGTTCATCAGAATTCCAAAAGCAGGATTTAATCTTCAAGGATTCCACAGTTAAAATTGTGCCAGTGGGAGAGAGAAGAACATTTGAGTCCTGGCTGGGGCAGCCGTTCCTGGACTCTTTAGAAGGTCTGCAATCTCTCCAGTGCTCAGGAGCTGGTAAGCCCATTGTGCGGTGGGAGCTCCCCCCCAATTTTCTGGTTAACAAGGAAAAAGAAATTATTTTAGGAAGTCCCTTAAGTGTTGGGCCGGTAATGTAGAGGACTTCCATTCCATTTATGTAAAGCCAGTCTGGAGACAAAAAATTACCCATGAGCCTCCCTGAATGATTCAAGGAGTCTTTTGTTCCTTTCAGCTTATAAGGGTTAAATGTGTAAGGTATATAGGTAGTAAATAGTAGGGCTTACTTTTCACATGCAGCCAGTAGCCAATTATATTGCAAGCATCTGCATTTAACAGATGCGGCAGAAACAAAGCCATTTAGACACTCAACTGCTTTTAATGTGGAGACCCACTTAGCCAAATCAGAATGCACCATCCTGGGGTGGACTTCAGGCTGACCCTAAGTTCAGTCTAGAAAGATTGCTAATAATGCTCGTATGTCTTTATCTCCAGTAACAAAGTCTCTGAATGTGATTCTCCTCCTGACAACAATTCTGACTCTTGCCATAATTTCTACTTCATGAGCAACATGCAGGTGCAACAATACAAAATGCAACCAAAAGAGTTAAAAGTTTAGGCAATCCTCATGGACTCAATCAATAATAGCGGAATATTCAGTTTTCCTCCCTGGCATTCTAAACGTGAATTGATAAGCCAGATTTTTAACCATGATGTATTGAGCAAATCAGTGACCTTCTTCTCAGCACAGAATGCTTGAGATAACGGATCTGGACATCATATAAAATCAAGAATACTAAAGCCAGATTGTGTGTTAGCAGGTGCGAATCAGAGCCTTCTCTAAGTTGCCTTTTCATTCCAACCGTCTCTCTTGGGACTCTGGGGTGCTCCTTTTCTGGACTGTGCCGATACGGTCGTACTCACATCTACTGGCCTGCTTGGAAAGATTCATTACAGCAGGCAACTCGCTTTGCTCTGGAACACAACAATTGACGTACATGTCAAATGACAGGAGATTCTTGTTATGGACTAGAAAGCGTGGAAAGTACCAAGACCAAATAGACAAGCATGGATGATCTTCCTACCATTTCTGCTTTGGCAACACCTGCGGCACCCCCAAAGACAAAAGGGTGGGAAATGCTCCCCCCACAGCCGCAGGATCCAACTTCAACAGGTAAAACAGCCTGATTGCAAGACTGTCCTCCACCGAGACATAAGACCCTGTTTTGGATATGGCCTATTCAATAAAATCTTACTTTATTGAACAGGAGCTCTAAGGTCTCAGTGTATTTTGTAGATGCGAGATAGGAACTTTTTCAATTAAAAATATATTACCTTTAAATATAACAAAAGAAAAAGAATAAGGAAATTAGGTGAGAACCAAAAAAAGATAAGCTTAAAAAATAAACAGAAAAAAGAAAAGTTATGCATTTGTACCGTAGAGCTGCATCAACTGAAGTCAGACTGTATCCAAGTAGAATAAAATAAATACATAAAATCAATTTAAATTAATTTTGATTGCATAAAATTGTATCAATCGGTTTTCCACCTCACTGGCAGAAGCTCAATTCATATATAGAAAGGAAATGCATGTCTTCTATTCTGCTATTAAATCACATGTACTAATCTTTCCATCAGAATAAAACAAGTTTCATAATTCCTGTCTGCATACAATACATTCTCCATTCTTTGATAGTTTTCAAATTTTCAGAATATTTAGCATCCTCTGAGTCTTTTTTTTTTAACACCCATTTTCAATCATGTATCTTATACCAAAATAAGCATCACTGTAAAACAAGTTCCAAATTATGTCTTTTGTTATGCTTCCAACAGAGGTTGAAATCTCAGCTTTGCTCCACATGCTCAGAAACACCAGAAACAGCAGACTGAAAATTGGATTATTCTCATTATTTCAAACGACTTGCAAGTTTTTCTTGTCAATAGTAAACAAAAACTGACTCTTTCTCAACAATGTATCAGGTTGAGAAGCAATTAATACCTCACATCCAAGTAAAAGAATAACAGAGTTAGAAGGGAACTTGGAGGTCTTCTAGTCCAACACCCTGCTCAGCAGGAAAGCCATTCCAGACAAATGGCTGTCCAATCTCTTCTTAACAGCCTCCAGTGTCTGAGCACCCACAACTTCTGGTGACAAGCTGTTCCATTGATTGATTGTTCTTACTGTCAGGAAATTTCTCTTTCATTCTAGATTGGGTCTTCCTTGGTTAGTTTCCTTCCAATGTTTCTTGTCCTGCCCTCAGGTGCTTTGGGGAATAGGTTGACCCCTCTTTTTGTGGCAACCCCTTAGAAATCAGTTGGAACACTGCTGTCATGTTGCCCGCAGTCCTTCTTTCAGTAATTAAACAAACCCAATTCCTGAAACTAATCTTCATATGCTTTAGCTTCCAGTCCCCTAATCTTCTCCGTTGCTTTTCTCTGCACTCTTCCTAGTCTCAATCCCCATTAAATTGCCCACTGACCCATTTATCTGCTTTTGAACTGCAGAGTCTGCAGGAGATGTGCTGGGACCCCACCCCATCCTGTAGCACCAACTGGGTCTCAAATGCAAGCCTGTCTGTCATCCTATCCACATTTTAACCTAATGAGAGCTGCCACCCTCCTCCAGATTTAGGTTACCTAGCACACAATCCAACTAGTTTTAAACTACAATAATTATAGGTGTCCAGTAAAAACCACAACACCGGCATCATTGGTCAATATACAAATAGAGATCCACTGTATAACATGCATCAAGACTTACAGAACATAATTTTGTCTTGTGAATGAGACATGTGCCTAGGACACCCCCCCTCTATAAATCTAGTTGCCCATCCATTGTTCCTGACCATTCAGTGGATGCATTTGCTTGACAGACACATCTGGGCCAGTTCATGCGCACCATGGCGTTGGAGTCTTTTTTTTTAATGGCTTAATCAAATTCATTTTATTTGGTTAGGTTTCACTTTATTAAGGAAACAATAATTAAAAACATCGTGAACAGAGGCTATCAGACTGCAATTCAGGCAGATTTCAGCCAAAATTTCGTGGGCCCCTCCAGGTCCTTTACCGCTTCAGTTCTTCCTGCTCACCTAACGGTTCTAGCCACAAAGTTGCTTCCCATCAGTTGCGGAAACGCCGCTGAGACTCCGATCAAAGGAACCGGCTTTGCTGCCGCCTCCCGGGGCTGAGCAGCGACGGCGTTTCCGCAGCACCGGAGCAAACCCAAACGGTCCCTCTCGGCGCACAACTGCGCTCCGCTTTGGGCTCAGCATCGAGTCCCAATCCGGAAAAAGGGAAGGGGGGGATTTCGCTGCCCCGCTTATGAGAGCCACCCGGCCTCTCCCCGGAGCAGGGACCTCTCCTCGGCCGGGCCCAACCCTCGGCAGCGACTCCGTTCCCCGTACCCTCTCCCGTTCGGCCACGCTCCTGCCTCTGCCGCCGCCCGGAGCTCCCGTGGGGGAGGAGGGGTCCGTCGGTCGATCTCCACCAGGAAGGTCTCGGGGGGGGGGAGGGAGTCGCACCCCTACCGCTTCAGAAGGGGCGCAAACGACGCCGTCCGAAAGCCCCGCCTCTCCACACACGCGCAGTTCCTCCAGAAAGCAGGGGGTGCTCATGGGCTCCGCCCCTTCTTCGGCCCGGGAGGGCGAGGGGGCCAGCCGGCGTCCTTTGCGCGCGCCGCTTCTTCCTTCAGCTCGCGCAGGAAGGTTTCACGCAGGCGCAGTCCGCGGGTGAGGGCCGCGGCCGTGAAGCGCGCTGCCGCCCGGATGGGCCGCGCCTCTGCCAGGCGGTCCAGGAGCCGAGGGTCGTTCAGCAGGGCGAAGAGCAGCCGGCGCAGCACCATCGTCGGCCACGGGCCACCCGAGAGCCTTCGCGGATTGCGTCCCGCCTGCAGGCCGTGCCCGCTGCGTCTTGGGGCGGGGCTCCGGGGACTGGCGTGGGCGAAGTAGCAAGATCGCCCCCCGCCCGGTTCTCTCCGGCGACCTTCCCAGTATGGCCCACTTCCTGTCTGTCCCAGGGCTGTCCTCCACTTCCTTCCCGACATGGAAGCGGCAGAGAACCGGTGACGCCCCCAGTGGTTGGGAGGCCTCTTTGCACTCTTTCGGCTTCAGGAAAACGGGCTGGGGGGTGGGGGGGGGGCAAATATCTGTTTCTTTGAGTGCCCGTTTTCGCCCCTCACTGAAGAACTCTCACTGCTAACGTGTCCCTTCCGCTGCAAACGAGGCTGCCACCAAAGCCACTTTGCCGCGCCTGCTTCCACTCACGAGCCCCTAACACGGCTGCCCCAACTCTTCCCGTCCTGTGCCTATTGCAGCCCTCTGCTCCCAGTACCCTCACAGCTGACGCCACGTGTTGCCTGTCTGTTCAGTTGCCCCATTTCTGCTCCTCCCAGAGCGCCGGCTGCTTCTGAGGCGCCGAGAGGTTAGGGTTTAGGGGTTTGGGTCAGGGTCAGGGTCGGGGTTCAAGGGTTGGGGGTGGGGGTTGGGGTTAGGATTAGGGTTGTTGTTAGGGTTGTTAGGGTTAGGGTTGTTGTTAGGGTTAGGGTTAGGGTTTTGGTGGTCCGCAGAGAAATGTCACCCCCCAAAGCAGTTAATCCAGGCTGCACGGGAAGGCTTGCATCACTTGCATCCAGAACAACACAAGGTAGTGAGGGGAGGGGGAAAGGGCGGAGGGGGGG